TACAAAAATGACACCATTTAAAACCATACAAGAAACTCTAAAACAAATACTCGTCCGAAGTCTCTCCTTAAACAAAACCTTCAGTTGCAATCATTTTTTAAGTAGGTTATATCGACTGGCATCACCTTAATCTTGTATATTTTGGTTCCTGCCAACTATCCCAATTTACATTATGTCATCTCTGGGAATCCGGGGCAAGAAGGGTTTTAGGATCCAGAAAACTCGCTTATGTTGTCTGCTATTTCCAGTACACAGCTGTCGGTCCGTTCAGAGCTGAATAATCCAGAGTAACCCTCACCGGAGCTCAAATTTTCCACTATACGGCAAACATATAGTCCATGCACTTACAATCTAGCAACTAAGCCGCCTGCACTAGTGATCTTCCTGTCACTAACCTGTGGATTATCAAAGCCGCTCCCACTCATTTCACGTGGCCGCAAACTACCATCTCCAGCCTTCAATCAAAACACTCAGTTCACTCTCCATCAAAATCACCCAGTCTCCGCATCCCACTGAACCTCCTCCACCATAAATGCTGGAGGCTCTCCCAAGGGACACGTAAGTGAGGCTCTTAGCAGACCCTCCCCTAGGCGGGAACCAAGGGCCTAACATTTTAACAATTCTCACAAGGCTCGCGAGGCGGACTCACCCCCACGCCACCCGTGCGGCCTTCTCAAATTAACTACACCCCAGAGAGCAAGCCCCAACGCTTACCCTCAGAAGCTTTTCACAGCAACCCCCTCTACCTTCAGGCCTCCATGGCGGCCGGCCAATTCTGACTTCCTTCCTACACTCAAGAGAGAGAACCGACTAAGGCTCCCTCCCCACAGGTATGTCCAGTCCCTTTTTTCAGGGGCCTCCATTCCACTTCCAGTGGAGGGAGTGTCCTCACTACGATTATCTCCTCACTTTGGGACACAGTTATAATCTCTGCCCCACGTGGGGGCATAGAGAATCTCGTTAATTCGGAATGTAGCGAGTTTTCACTGCAGTTCCCGTTCGTTTGCGAGCCGCTGGGGCACCCAGCTCTGGCTTCCTCCCCTCTCAAACAACGGGGGCATCCTCGCTATGGCCTCATGCCCTCCTCGGTAGGCAGGCTCATCCTCTCTTGTGTCCTTCTTGCATCCTCTCAGGACCGAGAGGCGCAAGTGGCGCCCCAAGACCCCCGCAGCCAAGCCCCGACCCTTTTGTGTAGGGCGCTCGCTGCGGCGGGCTCCGAGGCCTCCGAAGGCCCCGCCCCGGACCACCAAGGGGCGGCTCGAGCCCCGCACAGCCCCGCCCGTTCCGGAGCTGCAGGAATCTTACCAGCGAGAGCTGCGCGGCACCCGAACCCAGACCCGAGTTACCCCCCGCGCGAGTGCCTCCGCCCCGCGGCCGGCAGCCCCAGCCCGAACGGCTTCCCGGAGCCCAGAGCAGCCGACTCCTTCTTCTCCGCTTCACAAGATGGCCGCCGGCCCGCTCAGCAGCTCACCGTTCCAGAAAGGGCGGGGCGGAGTGACTGACGTCACGGGGCGGGGCGGCGCAAGCGCGCTGAGCATCTCGGAAAGCTCACGGAAGTTGCCTCTGTTTCTTGTGAGAAGTTTGCGACGTTTGCGCACTAGCTCCGCCTTTAGGGGAGCGACGCTGCTTGATGGGATCTGCTCAAGTATTTGGCGCTTGGGTTCAAGTAGTTACTTCTTTTCGAGCTTCTGCGAAAGGAGGAAAATACTGCCTACCTTGCAGAATTGTTTTGAGATTAGAAGGACCACAAAATGGTGAAATTTTAAATTTCAGTCCGGGGAGGCTTACCAGTCCTCGTTAACCCCTCCGCGATTGCACTTTGGTATTGTTTTGTTATAGAAAAAATTATGCAACTTTGGTCCTAAGCCTCGCAGACTCCACTCACTCCTATCTCTTGATTAATGTTACCGTAATTGAACTAATCTTCCAAGGCAGAAAAAGAGGCAATTGACTAACAAAATCAGGGACTAAATCCCCACAACTCCCAACAAGTTTGGGGAAGATTTGTGTTGCAAACTAGCCTGGTGCTAGCTGAGTGTGTAAAAAAAAAACAAAACAAAACAGGTCACGCTTTTAAACAAATGTATGATCCTGGGAAAGACTGAGGGCAGGAGGAGAAGGGGACGACAGAGGACGAGATGGTTGGTGATGGACTGGGAGGCCTGGCGTGCTGCGGTTCATGGGGTCGCAAAGAGTCGGAGACGACTGAGCGACTGAACTGATAATTCATTATATATACTTTTTGCAGGTAAAATGCAGTGCGTTAAGAACAAAATCTACTAAATACAACGTGGTACCCAGGATTGAATCCTGGAGTAGAAAAAGGACATTAGTGGGGAAACTGATGAAATCTGAACGAAATCTGAAGTTTAGTTAATACTGATGTACAGATGTCAGTCTCTTAGTTTTGACATCATAGTTTTATGTAAGATGTTTAAAATTAGAGGAAATTGGGTGATAGACATGCAACTTTATACTATCTTTGCAACATTTCTCTAAATCTAAGATTATTCAAAATAAAATTTATTCAAAAAACTATAATTCCATCTCCTCCTTCTCATCTGTCTGCATTCACCGTACTTTAGCCTAGTGGCTTTCAAACTTTGAGTATCACTCACGTGAGAAATACATTTGCAACCTGTAAACTCATTAAAATATGTGATAAAAATAAGATACTTAACATATGTGCTATACTGTTGGTGGGAGTGTAAATTGTGCAGCCATTATGGAAAACAGTATGGAACTTCCTCACAAAACTAAAGCTAGAGTTGCCATATGATCCAGTATCCCAATATTGGGCATATACCCAAGTAAAATTATAATTCAAAAAGATATTTGTACTCATATGTTGAATTTTTTTTTTTTTTTTTTGGCCATGCCTGCAGGGGTTTGATCCCTGATCGAAACTAAGATTCCTCTCAGAAACACCCTCAACTCCCTGAAAGTCTTTTGCTTCTCCTTGAGATGGCCGATGAAGAAACGGACACTATTTCAGTTCATTTCTCCTTTCCTATGTCTGACTTGTCACAAGTCGAAACTAAATTCAGATTTTTTTGGTCAGGAACCCACCAATTTTATTCGAGAATTTAGAGGACTCACAGTGGCTTTCGATCTGAACTGGCAGGACATAGCTGTCATCGTGACCACCTGTTGTACACTGGAGGAAGATATAGAGAACAGAGCTGCAGGTGCCACGGGGGAGGCAAGTAGGGAAGGAAGAGATCAGGTGTTTGGGATTAGGAGATACAAACTAGTGTATATACAGGATGGATAAACAACAAGGTCCTTCTCTATTTCACAGGGAACTATACTCAATGTCCCATGATAAACCATAATGGAAAATATGAAAATACATATAACTGAGTAACTTTACTCTTCAGCAAAAATTAATGTAACATTTTAAATCAACTATACTTCCATAAATTTTTTAAATATTTACATGTGATGTACTCGAGAAAAATTTCTTCCTCACCCCTTATAATACTGGGAACCTCCCACTTAACGGTTTCAGACCCACAAATCGAGAAACTCTACTCTGGCTGTTTGGACCTCTGTTTCTCAAACACCATGCCTTTTCATGCCTCAGGCCCTTTGCTCTTACTGTTCCTTCTTCTTCCTCATCAATCCCTAGTTTTTTGATGGCTAGAAATCATGTTTGTGCTAAATTAACACCTCCTCAAAAAAGCTTTCCTAGTATAACCAGCATGGTAGGTTCTTTCCCTGTTACTTTCTCTACCGCTCAATTTCTGCTACAGCACACATCACAGTCTATAATAACAGCCTTATTTAATTCTTATTTTCTTTCTGGCTACTAGAATGAGAGTTCACTGAGAGTACTTTTATGTATTTTTAATTAGTGTATCCCAAATACCCAGAATAATGTCAGGCACCTGCTGCTGCTGCTTGCTGCTAAGTCGCTTCAGTCGTGTCCGACTCTGTGCGACCCCATAGACGGCAGCCCACCAGGCTCCCCCATCCCTGGAATTCTCCAGGCAGGAACACTGGAGTGGGTTGCCATTTCCTTCTCCAGTGCATGAAAGTGAAAAGTGAAAGTGAAGTCGCTCAGTCGTGTCCAACTCTTAGCGACCCCATGGACTGCAGCCTACCAGGCTCCTCCATCTATGGGATTTTCCACGCAAGAGTACTGGAGTGGGGTGCCATTGCCTTCTCTGGTCAGGCACCTGAGAGGCACCCAAATAATTGCTGACTAAAGAAATAAGCAAGAAGACTCATCTGTTGACATCAAGTCAAGTAGTAGTCTGCCCCATGATTCCCAAGCTTGGAATGCTCCTTGAGCCTCTCATAAAGTCATACAATAAATACAGGAAGATGATTTTATTTCTCTAATCTGCAAATTAACAATTTTTTTTAAAAGAAACATAAATTACTACAAGACTAGGTAGAGTCAGTCATACAGATATTTCTAGCTCCATTAGGTCAAAAGAAAAGAAGGGCAAGAACACAGAGGAGACAAGCCTTCTAAGAAACTTGCAGTTCAGTCCATAGATGATATGAAGAGGTAGCCTTTGGAGCGACAAAAAAGATGAAGTCATAGATGATTACGCTTCTATCTGAAGAAGTCAGTCTCTCTGAGCAGCGGTAAGCAACAACTCAAATGTCCACCTAGAGCATCAGGGTCCCTGAACAAAGAGCGTTTTTACAGTTCCTCTGGCTCTCTCCACCAAGGATACAGATGTGTCCAGCAGCAACTCATAGCAAATGTCCCTCCTGGTTCAGGATGAGAACATCCACTCACTATAAGACCAGAGAAGGATTCCTGGAAAGAAATGGGGAATGTTCCCCACCAAAGGAGCTGAGGCCGGAGAAAGACAGCTTTCTCATGTTTCTGACTCAGAGGCAGGCCAATGCTGAAGTCAAGTGGGCTACACCAGTTCTGGTTTGAACATGGAGCAGCCACTGGGGGTAACAAAATGCCTGGCTGTGCATGAGTTGATGAGGCAGGAGGAGCCAGGCCAGCACAAACTTAGAGGCCCACTCTTCTAGTGTTGGGTCCACTTGATGCTCTTGAGGTCAATGCCATCCTGCACCATCTCCCAGAGAGGGCTGCCAAAGAGAAGAGGTATTTGGATGAGTGAAGACAGGAAGCAGATAGCACTGAGCCCTAACTTGCCTTCATCTGTTTTTGTCTCTCCTCTGCTTCCTACCCTGATAACCCCAAAACAAGAGGTTATCAAGTCTTTCTCAGATGTCTGAGAAAGTCCTTGTCAGCTCTAGCCTCTCCCCAGCTGCCAACATTAATAACTAGGTAACCCAGGCTCAGCTTCAATGAGGCCACTCCAAGAGTGTCAAGTGTGGTTATATTCATGAAGCCCTCAAGCCACTCATGAGAGGCTGTGGACAGTTTCCTTGGGAGAACCAAGACCCTTGGAACAAGTGTAAGCAGCAAGTTTCGGCCTCTCTACTAACCACCAACACAAATGAACTTTTCAGCACCTGCTTCTTGGTTTTGCTCTAGTTCTCAGAAACAGAACTTGGCCCTAAATCACCTGGGTATGTATCACCATTATCCATTTCCCACAAGATCCATCTCCCCAGAGGTGACTCTACTTCCAACATCCCCAGCTCCTATTCAAACGGATCTTCTGAGTCTTGGACTTGGGCATCCCATTTCATATAAGAACAGCTACTGAGAGATCTCTGCCAAGCTCCGAGTCCCCTTCAGTTTGAATGCCTTAGATAATGTTTCCAGACCAGATATTACTTCAATGTGTTACAACCGTAAGATTTTGATTTGGAGTTCTCCAGTTAACTTTATTATACCAAATTTCGTTCTATTTTTGGTTTATCTCTCTCCATTATACTATGCATTCCAAGCACACTGTTTTTTTACTTTATTTTTGGCTGTACCACATGGCATGCTGGGATCTTAATTTCCCGGCCAGGTACCAAATCTGTGCCCCCTTCAGTGGAAGCACAGAGTCTTAACCACTGGACCGTCAGGGAAGTCCCCCAGCACCTTTCTATTTGACATTTTCCAAGACTCTTTGAAGTTAGCCTTCTCTTTAGGGTAGGTGACTTAAGATCGCAGGCTCACAAAATAAAAACTCTGGCTGAGGGCTAATGGGACGAGGTTGAAATTGTTTGCGAGGCATCAGAAGGAACAGGGTGAAGATGCTGAAGACACACGGTTATGAGGAACGTCTTACTTGGCAGCACAGTCAGTAGAAGTGCCCCGAGTGTGCCAGAGAGTATGAGAGGGCCAAGCCAAGGAGGAATCCTGAGCCTGACAAAGCTAAGCAAGCTATAGATATTTCAGCAATACAACCAGACTCCGTGCAGGAAAATTCAGGGCCCAGAAAGGGCTGGGGAGCTCACAAAGGAAAGCAGTATATACCTGAACTACCTCACTCTCGCCAACTAGACCAAGAAAATCTTGAAAATCAAACTGAACCAGAACAGAGTTCTGAAGAATTCCCAAGGCCTTTATGTTCCCATGAACATAGAGCTCTATGACTATTAGGAGAACCCCTAGGAGCAGCTGGCTGGTAAAGGATCTCTTGACCTTTGTAAGCATTTTTACAAAGAAAACTCTGAGTAAAAGTTCTTAACCTTTTGAGTATCTGATGAAAACTATGGACTTTCTTCCAAAGAAAATGCACAACTGTAAAACACTTAGCATACAATTTCAGGGTTATCCTGAAGTTCATCCATAGAACCCAAATTAAGAATCCCTATCTTAAAGAGGGTTTTCCTAAACTTAGTCTACAAATCATGAATTCTGTATTGATATGGCTGCAAGAAAACAATTAATATTATCAATAAAATGATGGGGAATTCCCTGGAGGTCCAGTGGTTAGGACTCCGTGCTTCCACTGAAGGGGGGAACAGGTTCGATTCTGGTCAGGAAACTAAGATCCTGCAAGCCTCAAGGCCAAATAAATAAATTAATAAAATAAAATAATGAAAAAAATCCAAATTTATGTGGTTCTTTAGTTTTTAAAGACACCTTTTCATTTTCTGACAAGTAGCCAAGAAAATCCACTTTCCTGCCTCAGAACTTCCTCTAAATCCTGACATCCAAGGATTTTCAAACTTTGGTTTCTGGCAGGGTGAATACACAGCTTGAGGACAAGAAAGGAGCTAGCACTGCAGTTTCTTCCAAAGAATCTCTGGAACAAGAGTGCATACCTCATTTCCCGAAGACGCTTCACATGGTGAATGCACTTCTCCACTGTGTAGTCCACTTCCTCCTCTGTAGTAAAACGGCCAATGCCAAACCTGAAAGACACAGAGAGGAACTCTGCATCAGACCTGTGGCACCAGGGTAAATTCATTCAGCAAATACCCTATGAGGCTCTACTCCACAAAAGACATGGAGGGAACACAGTCCTTCCCCTGGAGGACAGAGTTTCTCCAAACATGGTCTGTGGGTCACCTGAGAATCATCCAAGAAGAAGTTTCCTGCTTCTCCAAACCTAGCGAATCAGAATCTCTGAGTGCAGCACTGAGACCTCTTCATCATTCACAAACTTCCCAGGTGACAGTCAGTGAAGTCTGAGAACCACTGCTCAAGAAACTTGTGAAGAATGAAGAAGGGATAAGAAAAACTAAATTGGGTACTTCCCTAGATTGGTCCAGCAGCTAAGACTTTGCACTCCCAATGTAGGGGGCCTGGAGTCTATCCCTGGTCAGGGAACTAGATCCCACATGTCATAACTAAGATCCTGCATTCCACAACTGAGACCCTGAGCAGCAAAATAAAAAATAGGTACTTTGTTGTTTAAAAAAAAAACTAGACTGAGGAAGACTCTAACAGGAGATGAATAATACAAAAGGGCACGCCTTTCATAAATGCTGGAGTTCAGTTGACTAACCGGATAGAAGAGTGAGCTAAATCCTCATCAGTGCCAATTGCTCGAAGGACGTAAGAGGGCTCCAGGGATGCAGAGGTGCAGGCACTGAGGAGAAAGACACAGAGCCTTGCTCAGTTTAGCATCCAATCTGCTTCCGGCCACAAACCCCCAGTCTTGCTCCTACCCCCGGCCCCTGAAGTCATATCACAACAAAAGAGACATTCTCATCTGACAGAGCTGAAGAGACAGATGTGGCCTGCACCTTCTAGTATGTGGATTGAGTTCCTCTGGCCCCTGTGGAGGATATCCTCCATGAGCAAGGACACAGCCAAAGCATGAGAGAGTGTGATACCACATGAGCTAAGGGTAACGAGAAGTGGCAGAGAACCACAGGATCACTTCCCTACAACCAAATGCATCATCTGTAGCAGCCTAGACAGCAGCTAAACACTTGTTATCTTCTGGAACATCCTTGAATTCTAGAGGGCTATAACAGAACTGCCAGAATAACATTAGAACAGATACAGGCATCTCCTGGGACCACAAAAGGCACAAAACTCTACCACAGGAAGCCCTCCAAAGGTGGCAAACTTTTGCCTGTGCCCAACTGGCTAAAAATAGGTGCTTACAAAATGACTTTTATTCTCAACCAAAAGCTCCTGTGCTTGTCATCTCCACAATGGGAAGCTTATTAACCAGACACTTAAAGCCAGACTAACTGGTCCTGCCATAGACCCTGTCTATCCAGTCCAACTCACCTCCCTGAGGATAAGGCAACATCCTTAAGTGCCATCAACAGACTCTCCCCTTCCACATACGCAAAGGAGAGGTTGATACAGCCTGAAAGAGAGAATTACTATGAGAGGAGGCTCAGAGTCTCGGGCTCTTCCAGGAGGGGACAGAATGGGCACGACCATACCTGGGTAATGGTGCTCAGGGTCCCCATTCATCACCACATCTGGAAGGCTCTTCATTATCTTCTGTATCAGTCGCTCAGCTAACTTTGAGATTCGCTTGTGGTCATACTGAGGAGCAGGCAAGGGAACACCAAGCATAGTGACCATTAACAGCTCAGAGACATAAAGGATGAGGAACCCTACTCTGTGCCCAGAAGTGACTGTGCATTTAACTACCTATGGTCTTGTGTTACTCATGGAGACCACTGTATCCACAGCACTGAGCACAGAGGTGCTCAATAACTGGACACGTGGTTCCAGTAAAGGACCTGGAATTTGGAGCCCATAAGACCTCCCTCAGGGCTTCCCAGGTGGCCCAGCGGTAAAGAATCTGCCTACAATGCAGGAGACCCAGGTTTGATCCTGGGTCAGGAAGATCCCCTAGAGAAGGAAATGGCAAGCCACTCCAGTATGCCTGCCTGGAAAATCCCATGGACAGAGGAACCTGGTGGGCTACAGTTGAAGGGATCGCAAAGAGTCGGACACGACTGAGTGACTAAACAACAACACCTCCCTCAGAACAGGACGCCAGCAGCACTCGGAGAGAGACAGTTTTTTTAAACCACCTCTTCTGGCAAAGATCTGACCCAGTCATGCCAAGAAGCTGCTAAACAGGAGACCCAGCACAGGGGAAGAATTTGTAGGAGGGAACTGCTCTCCTCATACCTCCATCTCTTGCTGTGCCACCTCACACGCAGCCCCCAGTCCCACCACCAGGGGTGTGGGGACTGTCCCAGACCGCATACCCCGCTCCTGCCCCCCTCCACTCTGCAGGGCCTCCACACGCACACGGGGCCGCCGGCGAATGTAGATGGCACCAACCCCTGGGAAACAAAGTTTGTTACAAGAAAGAGAAAAAGGAAAAGGCAGATGAAACAAAATATCACTTTCCAAAGGGGTCAAAAAATTCTTTCAACTTTTCTGTAAGTTCCCAAATTTTCAAAATAAAAAATGTTGGGGCAGGGGGAGACTAATGCAGGATGTACCAAACTTCTTTTATTAAGACATATTCCATTTCCCCATTAAAATAAAATCATATTCAAGTATCTGACACTATCTGAATCTCTGCAGTTCCCAAGTTCAGAGAATAAGGGCTCAGACACTACATCTGGAGAGTGAAGACTACCATGTCGTCTAAATCTGTTTAGCTTCTGAGTTCAAAAAGCAAGAGTTTGGATAGTGAGGGATACCTGCATACGTTTAAGTGAATAGAGCTTCTGCTCAATATGAGTTAATTAGTTTTATCAAAACAGATTTATCTACAATAAAAGCCAATAAGCCAATTTTAGTTAAAGAAAGGATGACTGTTGGGCTTTTAAAAACAATTAACTTAAAAACACACTCTTTACAACCTCTGGAAGCACAACCTCCAGGATCTAATGTCTGATGATCTGAGGTGGAACTGATGTAATAATAACAGAAACAAAGTGCACATTAAATGTAATGCACTTGGATCCTGAAACCATCCTACCCACATCCCTGGTCCATGGAAAAATTGTCTTCCATGACACTGGTCCCTGATGCCAAAAAGGTTGGGGACTGCTGCTTTAGAAGCAGCCATCTTACATACTTTCAGGAATTATCACAGCTTTTCCCACAGGGTGTCCATCCGGATGACACACCCTGCAGACACAGAAAGTATACTGGCATAACCAACCACCACAGGTCCTCACCCAAGAAAGAGAGGAAGAGTTGTTCATTTTGGATGGCTACTTCCATAAAACAGAGGACAACAGTCTCTTCTCAAAGGCTGCCGTGCAAAGGCAGAATTCCAGCTGGAAAATATTCCTAGGCCAATAGGACCACAGGACACAGACAAGTATCCTTGAGAGATTAACAGGAGCAAAGAATAATAAAGCTAGGAACAAACACCAAAACACATAAAAGCCCATACAATCTTCCCCTAAGGCTAAAGCAAAACACGAGGGAATAAAGGACTCAAAGAATATTGATCTGAGACTTCCCAGGCGGTTCCGTGGTTAGGACTCCAGGCTTCCACTTCAGGGGCCATGGGTTCAATTCCTGGTCAGGGAACTATAATCCCACATACCACACAGTCAAAAAAAAAAGAATGATCTGCAAATCATAGTTGAGTAGACAAGATAACTAGACTTATCAAGCTAATTTGATATGACAAAACCTTTGTTCCTCAACCAAATTAACATCTACATGAAAGGATTTTCTAAAGAGACCAGTGAAGGATGGTCTGCTTATAGTAACTGCTAGAATTTGCAAACAGGCAAGTGTTCCTGGCTATTATTAAATGACACCTGCATTCTGCAGAGCACTCTTCCTCTGAGAGCAATGACAGTCCCAAATGAGTCCCAGGAACACCTGTCAAAGGGTTTGTTGGTGGTGCAGAGAGAAGGAAATCCAGGAGGGGCTAGTACCTTTGGGACCATAGATTTTGTGACCACTGATGCTCATGAGATCAATTTTCATGTCATTGACATCAAGTGGGATTTTTCCAACAGCCTGGGCTGCATCGGTATGGAAATACACCTTTCTGGAACTGCAAATCTGCCCTGAGAAAACAACAGAGGGGAAGAACCAGAGCACAATGTTAGGAAGTAACCTGGCAGTGGTCCTATAATATATGAGTTCTGAGGCAAAATTACATCTGGTATTGGCCCTAGCCACATAGTAAATTATTTCTCTCCATATATATCTCCCTTTCTCTGTCTCTCTCTCATTCTCAGCTCTAGTGTCCTTGACTAGAATAAATAAGGGCAAGTGCACACATACATTCTCTATGCCTGCATCTCTACTCCTAGCCTGGAAATAGGTTCCCCTGTACCATATTCCTAGATTCCACACAATGTGCATTAATTGAGAGGTTAGGATGGACACATATACACTACTATGTGTAAAACAGATGGCTAGCGGGAACCAATGTAAAGTACAAGAAGCTCAGCTTGGTGCTCTGTGATGACCTAGATGGGTGGGATGTTTGGGGGGGAGGGGCATGGGAGGGAGGTCCAAGAAAGAGGGGATCACATGTATACATAAAACTGATTCACTTCATTGTACAGCAGAAACAAATACAACATTGCAAAGCGATTACAGTCCAACTTATATAAATAATAAAGTAAATAAAAGTTATGGTGGTCAAAAAAAAGCACAAAGCATCAAATCAAAACACAACTGACATTCTGATTCATAAGACTCTTCCTACCTCATTAACAGTGGTCTTTCAGTATATCAGATTAACTTTTAGATCCTTATTGATTTAAAAGAAGCAAAAATTAATATATCTATTTCTAATGTACCTAAGAAGTTACAGGGTACGTGTCTCTGGCTCCAAATGAGCACAGTAAACAGAAGTTCTAAAATGAAAAAGGTAAAAGAGGAAGAGAAAAAAAGGTGGAGGTTTTTTGTTTTGCTTTCTGTACCAAATGCAGTAAAATGAAAAGGATACTAGTGCAGTGCAATGCATGTGTGCTCAGTCATGTCCAACTCTTTTATGACCACATGAACTGTAGCCCCCAAGCATCTCTGTCCATGGGATTTTTCTGGCAAGAATATTGGAATGAGTTGCCATTTCTTCCTCCAGGGGATCTTCTCAATCCAGGGATTGATCCCAAGGCTCTTGTGTCTCTTGCACTGGCAGGCAAATTCTTTACTACTGCACCATCTGGGAAGCTCAAGTGGTACTAGACCTGGGTTCAAATACTAGCTGTGCCATTTACAATATGTCCTTGAACAAGGAACTGAAGCCCTCTTTCCCTTGGTTTCCTTACTGCATTCTATATCGTGTTTCAGCTCCTAGTCCAGTCCTGCTCCTCAGATGGATCCCAGTGGTGGGCAAGCGTCAGGGTCCACCCATGATACTTACCTATTTCCTTAATGGGCTGCTTCACTCCAATCTCATTGTTCACAGTCATGACTGAGACCAGGCTGGTATCCGGCTGGATGGCAGCCTCTAGTTCCTAAGAATATCAGGAGTAAAGAGACCATATACTACGAACAGAGTCCTCTCTAACTCAGAATTAAGCAAGCTTAGTTGTGAAAAGGGGCCTTTCACTACACACCTACAAGAGTGGGTAAAATTAAAATAACAATGACAAAATGCTGGCTAGGATGCAAAGAAACTGAATCACTCATACACTATTGACGGGAATATAAAATGGTACAACCACACTGGAAAACAGTCTGGCAGCTTTGGTTTCTTCTAAAACTGAACATGAAATTACTGTATGACCCAGTAACTGCACTCTTGGGCATTAACTCAGGGAAATGTAAGCTTAAATTCACATAGGAAACCTATAAATGATCATGATTGCTTTATTCTTAATAGCCAAAATCTAAAAACCACCCAGAGGTCCTTCAATAGGTAAATGGTTAAAGAATCTGTGGTACTTCCATTATGTGGAATACTGCTCGGCAACAAAAGGAACAGACTACTGAGACAGCCAACAACTTAAATGATTCGCCTAAGACTTACGCTAAGTGAAAACAGCCAATCCCAAAAGGGTACATACTATATTACTAACATTTCAGTTACATAACATTACTGAAATGACAAAATTAAAGAAATGGTGATCAAATGAGTGGTTTTAAAAGAATACCATGGGACTTCCCTGGTAGTCCAGTGGTTAAGAATCCACCTGGCAACGCAGGGGACGCTGGTTCAATCCCTGGTCCAAGAGGATCACACAGGCCATGAAGCAACTAACCCACGCCCCACAACTACCGAGTCTGTTCTCTGGAGTCCTTGAGCCGCAAATACTGAGCCCACATGTCTCAACTACTGAAGCCTGCACACACCAGAGTCTGTGCTCTGCAACAAGGGAAGCCACTGCAACGAGATGACTATGTGATACAACTAAAGTAGCCCCTGCTCACCACTAGAGAAAGCCTGCAAGCAGCAATGAAGACTCAGCGCAGCCAAAACTAAATACATATTTAGACAAGAAAAAAAAAACACACACACAATAAAGCATCACTGAGGTGATAGTTACATAAACCTACACATCACACATGTGATGAAACTAGAATGCATAGAACTAAACACACACACACAAGTGAGTACAAGTAAAACCGGGGAAATCAGAACAAGACCAGGAGATTGTATCAACATCAATATCCTGGTTGTAATATTATACTGTACTTTGCTAGATGTTATCATTAAGAGAAATGAATAAAGGATACATGAGATCTCTCTGTATTACTTCTGACAACTACATGAGAATCTATAATTTAAAAATTAAAAACTTAATAAAAAAAAAAGAGGGGGAGACTTTCCTACATAAGGTTGTCAGAGTAAGTGGCAAAGAACAAAATAAGTAGTAAAAACACAGAAGGCAATGGCACCCCACTCCAGTACTCTTGCCTGGAAAATCCCATGGACAGAGGAGCCTGGTGGGCTGCAGTCCATAAGGTCACTAAGAGTTGGACATGACTGAGCGTGACTTCACTTTCACTTTTCACTTTCATGCATTGGAGAAGGAAATGGCAACCCACTCCAGTGTTCTTGCCTGGAGAATCCCAGGGACGGGGGAGCCTGGTGGGCTGCCGTCTATGGGGTCGCACAGAGTCGGACATGGCTGAAGCGACTTAGCAAGTAGTAAAAAATAAGGCTACTATTAACACTGACATAGGGACCACATCTGACAAAAACATTTATCCTAAAGAAACTAGTAATCAACCTCCCAATATCTATGATGCTTTCCCGGACACTGGTCTAATGGAGGTTCTCAATGTGTCATTTCTCTCAGCTGCTTCTTTACTTCCTTTATAGTATATATACCAATTCATAATTATTTATACATTTGTTTACATGTTAACTGTCCTTTCACTAGAATATAAGCTCCTTGAAGGCACAGACTAGGCTTGTCTTGTTCATCCCTTTATCCCCAGTGCCTGGAACTACAACACAATAAATAGTACAGAGTGAAAGAAAGACATTACGTCAAGTATTACGAGAAATGATGATATAGAAAACATGCACTCCTCAAGTTCAAGAAGCTAAGCCTAGTGGAAAAATAGGCATAGGCATACAACAGAGCAAAGAAGTAAAAAGCCATTAAATAAAATAAAGGGAGTGGCTCGACCCCTGATCAGGGAACTGAGAACCTACATACCTCAAGGTGCAGCCAAAAAAAAAAAAAAACACCTGTTGGAATAAAAATAAAAAGGGACTACCCAGGCAGTCCAGTGGTTAAAGAATTCCAATGCAGGGGGTGTGGGTTTGATCCCTGGTTAGGGAACTAAGATCCTACATGCTACGGGGTGCAGCCCAAAATTTTAAAATAATAAAATAAAAATAAGCAAAAACTGTATAAAAAAATGTTAAATGTACACACATTTATGTAAATGTACACATATTTTTTGTACACATAAAAATGTTAAATGTATAAAAAACTGTATAAAAAATAAGCAAAAACTGTATAAAATAAATAAGTTATAAGGATATATTGTACAACACAGGGAATATAGCCAATATTTTATAATAACTATAAGTGGAACATACCTTTCGAAAATTGTGAATCAGACTTCCCTGGTGGCACAGTGGATATCAATCTGCCCACCAATGCAGGGGATAAGGATTCAATCCCTGGTCCAGGAAGATCCCACCTGCTGCAGAGCAACTAAGCTGTGCATCACAACTTCTAAGCCCACATTCTAGAGCCTTCAAGCCGCAGCTACTGAGCCCATGTACTGCAACTACTGAGTCCATGCACCTAGAGCCCATCGTCCACAACAAGAGAAGCCACCGCAATGAGAAGCCTGTGCACTGCAACAACAGAGAACCCACACAAGGCAACAAAGACCCAGCGCAACCAAAAATTAATAAATCAGTAAATAAAATTTAAAAATAGATATACAGGTCCCAAAGCAAACTATTCTTCACAAAACTACACCTACCCTTCTGAAGGATAAGAAACATCAGTGAAGGGTGGAGGAGGCCAGAGCTTTCCCGTGGTGAGTGTGAGTCTCTGGCATCCTGCATACATGGTCAGTGGCTCTCAGACAGGAAGCACCAACTAAGCTGAGAAACAAATCCTCCAGACAAAAGGAAGATGGTGCACACTCAAGAGGAACATACTCTGGGTCCCACTGAGAGACCTATTTCTCTAAAGCCCTCCTTCACTGTTAGATCTAGTCTTTCAAGCTCCAGCTGAGGCTAAAGAGACAGTTTCATTGGTTGAAGCCAGGCTCCCCCTATCATGTCCCTCTTACCTTCAGGTCAATGATCCCACTCTTCTTCACTGGAAGGTAGGTGACTTTAAAGCCCTCAGCTTCCAGTGAACGGCAGGAATCCAAGACACATTTGTGTTCTGTCTGAGTGGTGATCAAGTGCTTTTTCCGGGACCTATAGAATCTGGCCACTCCCTAGAAGTTGGTGATGGTGGAAAAAAGAAGAATATACTCAGAGAGACAGCACTGACTTCCATCCTAGTTGCAAGGAGCAAGTGGATAAGGGCGGTATGGTCCAACATCAATTCTCTGACAACTGTGTGTCTTACAATTTAACTTAATTCTGACACTAACTATCCCAAATAGTGAAAATCCCTCAGGTTAAGTGCCTCAGTCTCACAAGACTGCCTCCACTTCAGACGCCAGCTGTGAGACCTAACTGTCGCAAGCCCCCCATCCATATTTCCCCAGATGGCTACAAATAAAAGACTTCCCACAGCCCCTTTGTTGTTGTTTAATCACTAAGTCAGGTCTGACTCTTGGTGACACCATAGACTGCAAAACTCCAGGCTTTCCTGTCCTTCGCTATCTCACGGAGTTTGTTCAAACTCATGTCCATTGAGTTGGTGATGCATAGCCCCTAAGATTCAGTAATCCCCTATGATTCACAGAATTCACTGAAAACACTACATTGACTATCATAGCTTTATCACAGAAGATAAAACCCATGAATGGCCAAATGGAAGAGATGCACAGATGAGGTCTGAGACAGGGAAGGGCACAGAACATCAAGCATGCCACCTTCCAGCACATCCATGTGTTAGCTAACCTGGAAGCTCCTCTGACTTGTTTTCCAGTTTTGTTTTGTTTTTTAATATTTATTTTTATTTATTTGGCTGTACTGGGTCTTAGTTGTGGCATGTGGGACCTAGTTCGCTGATCAGGGATCAAACTCGGGCCCCCTGCATTGGGAGCACAGAGTCCCAGCCACTGGACCACCAGGGAATTCCCCCTTGTTTTCCAGTTTTTACAGGGGTTTCATAACACAGGCATGACTGATTAAATCACTGGCCATATGACTAGACTCAATCTCCAACCCCCTTTCCTCTCCAGATCAAAGTTACAACCCTCTAATCACATTCTTGGTCCTTCTGGAGTGACCAGCCTGCATCCAAAACTATCTAAGGGCCCACCAAGAGTCACTTCATCACCAGAAACACATTATGGTCCAAGGGGGCTTATTATGAATAACAAAGACATTCCTAGTATTCAGGAAACTACAAGGGTTTTTGAACCTCTGTACTAGGAACAGAGAACAAAGACCAAATATATTTTTTATTATATCATAGATGGAAAATGGAAAACATTCCTATCCTTATATCCCAGGGAAAGTGTTTCTCATTTACTTCTTTTTTTTTTAATTGGAGGATAACTGTTTTACAATGTTGTATTAGTAATAGTTTCTGCTGTACCACAAATGAATCAGCAGGGAATTGGTGGCTCAGTGATAAAGAATCTGCCTGCCAATGTAAGAGAAGTGGGTTTGATCCCTGGGTCAAGAAGATCCCCTGTAGAAGGAAATGGCAAACCACTGCAGTATCTTGCCTGGAAAATCCCATGGACAGATGAGTCTGGCAGACTACAGTCCATGGGGTTGCAAAGAGTCAGACACAATTTAGAGACTAAACAACAACACACATATATTCCCTCTCTCTAGAGCCACCCTCCCACTCCACCCCCAACCCACCCCTCTGGGTCATCACAGAGCACGGAGCTGAGTTCCTTGTGCTATAATAGTAGCTTCCAACTAGCTATCTATTTTACACATGGTAGGGTAACATATGTTTTATTTCTATGTAAACAACAAAACATACAAATATGGTGATACTGATATCCAAAGCTGGCAGTGTAGAAGTGAAACTCATACACTCATTCCTTGCTGATGGCAGTACTTACACTACAAACTCTTCAGAGAATTATTTATAAAGATGTCTTAAAAGCTGTATTAACAAAATTCTGCAAAGCAACTATCCTTCAATTAAAAAGTAAATAAATTTTTTTTAAAAGCAGTATTCACACTCTTTACTGTGACTCCTCTTTTGGGAATTTACTTTAGGGAAATATTTCAAAGCACAGATGACGCTATAGAGACAAAATATGCTTTCACTGTATTTACAATCCTTAAAAAAATGGAGAGATTAAACACATCCAACAATAGAGGAATAAATAGTAAACTGTAACAATACAACTTCATGAAAAAGAATGTAGGTATATTAAAAATTATGGAGTTTGAAATGGAAAAATATAGCATACGTTATTAATGGCTATGGAAAAATAAATGTGGATGCTACAATATGTGAAACTATTAAAAGCAAATGCACATGTTTGTACAGTTTGTTTTCTGGAACAATACTGAACAGACTTGAGGTCTGTTTAGCAGGGGAGGAGGAAATGGAAGATCTACCTTGAGTTTAAACCTTTCCATATAATGAGAACTTACTGTGTAGCTCAGGGAACTCTACTCAGTACTCTGTGGTCACCTAACGGGAAGGAAGTCCAAAAAAGAGGGGATATATGTGTACTTACAGCTGATTCACTTCCCTATACAGTACAAACTAACACAATATTGTAAAGCAACTGTACTCTAATAAAAGTTAATAAATAAACCTTTCCATAGGGTTAAAAAAAATTTCACTGCATATGCATGAATTCCTTAAAAAAATTAAATAAAATGTGCAACCCCACCTCTCCCAGGGGACTATGCTAAAAGCAGAATATGAAACTAATTAGGCCAAAATTACAACTACATAAAAATGTTCTTGGGGACAACGAACATAGAAATGAAAACATTTAAAAGTTCCCTCCCCTTCCTCCTATTTTAGTTACCCAGAGTGTTGAATCCTCTACCAGCAGACAGATATTTACTCTACCCATCCAGGAGTCTAAGAGGAAAATGGTCACAACCACTCCTTGACCTTGAGGTCTAGGAATCTGTGGAAACTTTCAAAGCAAATATTTTCAAAGTTTTGAAAATGCTCCCCATTCCAAAAACTATCCTCATCTTTGAAGAGACCACACGCAGGGCTCTGCAGTCTCTGCAGTCCCAAGGAAAGACACTTTCCTGTTAACAGGATCCGGCGAGTGCTGATGACTCTGGGACCTGGCCCAGACCTGGGCCTCCTACACTGAGTCCAAGGTCAGAAAAAACAATACTGGCAACACAGGTGAAAGACCACGATGAGAGGGGACAGAGCCAGCACTGAACCTACAGCAGCCCACAATTTATCAGAGCCTTGGTATTTACACAAGTGACCCTGGCAACCAGGCCCCAGTCAGGCATGACTATGTTCTGTGAAACACTAACATGATTACTGAGAGTGGAATTTTACTTTCGTTAGCACCAAAGATGTTCCAAGGACAGAGTGACTAATCTCAGAACGGGTGATTAAGTAAATGTCTGCAGACAGCACCACAGCAACCAGGATATCTAAAGAAATAGGAGGAACTTGCTGCATACAGATCTCACAGGACAGAAGAGAAAGGCTGAGAAAAACACAACCGTGAAATCATAGATATAAGGGTGAACTTAGTAACAAGAAGCAGAGAAATCTATTCAGTTACGAGTATATTCTGGACTTCATTGTGACTAGATCTAAAAGGATGGGGAAAAGGATTGAGTCACCATTATTTATCCTCTGAAGTAGCTGTCATCCAAAACACCACATGGTTGATGACCCAAGAGTCACCTCCTTTCCTATCCAACTACATGACTGAATTCAGTTCACCAGGAGCAAACTTCAGATAGAGTCAACTACACAGGGCTAAAGGAAGCTACAAATTAGAAAGAGGGTGGTGTCTGTGTCTTTTTTAATGATATGATGAAAGTGGGTGGCTGGGAAAGACACATGAGCCTAACTGATTGCAGGAAACCATCTCCCAGGTCAGGAAAGCCCAGATATGCCCTCTGGTTCTCTTACCTTAATTGCTATGTTGTTGGATTCAGTAGCACCGCTAGTGAAAATGATCTCACGAGGATCAGCCCCAATCAGAGATGCTACTTGCTGCAAGTCAAGACGAGAAGCAGAAATAAGGAGCATCAGTTTCCTCAGCAAGAATGGGGCTGTGGTGACAACTAAGACAGAGGTCTGGAGCAAGAAGAGCTCCACTGCAATCTGTCAACTGCTCAAGAAGCAGTTCTGTACCCACTAGGATCAGACAAAGGGATATATTCAACTACATCCCAGATCCAATTAATAACAACTTTGGTGTTTTTGAAAAAGCATTTACTGAGTTCTTAGTATGCACAGGCATCATGTCAACAAACATATCACTAGTATTGTCTGATTTAATCCACCCCAAAACCTTAAGGAGTAGGAACTACTATAATCTCCATTTTCTTCTGGACATGTCACCCAGCTTGCTGAATCTTAGGTCACAGAACAGGGATCAAATCCAGACCCCCAGGAGCAAAAGCCCGAAATTCTAACCACTGGACTCCCCTCAACCTCCATTTTCAACATGAGGAAACTAAAGCTTCGAGAAGTCAGATAATGAGATAACAAAGGTCAGTTAACCAGGAAATGTGGAAACTAATTGAATGCCTTCAGAGGGACTCCAAAGGCCTATTCTTTGAATCTCTTGTTGAGAGAGCCCCAAACCATTTCCACCTTCACCCACAGCTACAAAAAAAAAAAAAAAATGCCACCCACAGGTCACTGAAACCTCTGACATCAGAACTTCCTAGAGTCCTCTGTACTAACCTGGCGAGCACATTCCATGGCAGCCTCACTTTCCCAGCCATAAGCGTGTGTCCGGGAGTGTGGGTTTCCATAGTAGTTGACCAGGTAAGGGAGCATGGCATCAAGCACCCGAGGGTCCTGGACAAAACAGAACAGATCATTCTCCTTGAGCCCACAGTTAACTTGGGCCCCACTCCATCCCCTGACCTAACCAACCTGCCTCAACACACCCCCAATCCTTCAGACCCTGCCTAGATTAGGCCTCAAACATTCTTCCATCCCCCCAGGTGCTAACCAAATGTTAGCTTAATACACTCTCCTCCCAATCCACTTAAATCAGATTATTCTACCATCTCGTCAGATAATCTACAAACACTACTTTTTCCTGACAGTTGTGTCTGTAGGTGTTTTCATTGCCAAGCAATGTGATATCTAGGAGAGGATGTTGATGAAAACGTGCATTAATATTCCAGAGCTCATCATGCGCCAAGCACTATTTTAAGGGCTGCTTTATATCTTTTAACCTATTTAATTCTTGCCCAAATGCATACAGTAAGCAATGGTCCGGTAATTCCAGAACCTATGCTTTTAACTACTAGGCGAGCGCCAGCAATGAAGTGATTTGACCAAGATCAATAGTTAGTAAGCAGTAAAGACACTTCTAGTGAACTACAACGTAAGCCTCCAGTCTCCTGGCTCATTGCTCTCCCAGCACACACTTCTCAATGGCTCCCACTCCTGCAGGGATTCAGCCATTTCTGTGCATTGCCACTTCTACACTATAACTCCACTAAACAGTTCAGGAAAAGCTGCCCCCCAATCCTTACCAGAGGAGTTGTAGCTTGCACATCCATGTACAGAGGTCGCAGCACTGACTCCGCCTCCAGAGCAGTGGCTGCATCAGAGGGAACAGCAGACTGGGGAGTAAGGTCTATACCTGACAAAAAATGGAACGGAAGGGCCAGGTGAGAGAGGATGCAACTCTACACACAGGGCATCACAGACAACAGAAAGGAAAGGCTGGACGGAGGTGACATAAGTTTAAGAGATGCTGAGCGAATCTCAACGCAAAAGGAAACAGAACACCAAAAAAGTTAAGCAAACTGTAAAAAAGAGGTAAGGGAGAGAGACAGGGTTCTTAAGGTAGGGTGCTGAGACAACATTCAAATTGCGTCGTTGTTGTGCGGAAATCTCCGAAAGGGCAAAGCCCCTGAGAAGGAACGTGGAGACGGTAGGTAAGATCTCCTTCAAAACAAACAAACAAAAAGATCTCCTTCAAAGGTTACTGGCTGGACCACTAGAATCTCTACAGTTGGGTCAGGAGAAATCCGATGGCCGAATTTTAGGGCTCTGCGGGCCTGGATGTGAAGTGCGGGAGCGGGGGTTGCGACGAAATCAACGGTTCAGAGCGCCGGTACGAGAAAATCTGAGGGGAGCAGTCAGGAGGAAGGGTGAGAGGGTCTGAGTAGCGGAAGAGGGAGGCTCCTGAACATGCAGGTAAGTCGCCTAGCCCAGGAGAAAGTTCCGCGCCTCCAGGGAGGTGGCAGTGAGCAGGCCCCCGAGCGTACCGCGCAGGCGCAGCCCCCGAGTAGGCGCCTTGGCCCTCGGCCCCAGAGCCGCGGGGGCGGCCGTGGCCACCCGCCTCCAAGCGGTTCGCAGCAGCATGGTCCCGGTGGCAGACCCCCCGCCCGAAGTGGCTACAGTCCTCAGCTACAGGATCCCGGAAGTGCTACTCCGCGCCCCGGAAGCACTTCCTCAGATCTCGAGTGCATTCCGGCTCGCATTCCGTGTGAGACGTAGATCTGAGCGACCGAAGCCACGAGCGAGGTGAGGTGGGGGCACCGTGGCGCGGGGACTCGAACGCACAGAGGGTGATGGAGTCGGGCTACACCCTTATTTTCTTTCTCGGATTTCCCAGAACCCCTGGGCCAGTTCCCTATCCCACCTCCTCTGGCCCCTGCTGGAGTCTCGGGCTGGCGGCTAGGCCCGCACTTCCCTAACCTTCGAACCCCGCAGATGCCGGTGGCCGTGGGTCCCTATGGACAGTCCCAGCCAAGCTGCTTCGACCGCGTGAAGATGGGCTTCGTGATGGGTTGCGCCGTGGGCATGGCGGCGGGGGCGCTCTTCGGCACCTTTTCCTGTCTCAGGTGAGGGGCGCGGACGGTAATCTCTAGAGACTACCTATTTTCACAGCCCACAGCTTTCGGCCTACAGCCCGAATAGAGCCTACTACTTTCCAATTCTGTCGCTGCCCTGTAACGAAGGAGAATGTTTTCCTAATCACCTTCAGTATAGGAGGACTGATGATAATCTAAATGTTTGAGAATACAAGCTCTGATTCGGACTGCTTTCTGACCCTTATTCTGTAACCTTAGGCAAGTTGGAGCCTGGGTTTCAACTAGAAATGAGGTCAGTAAACCTCTACATCATGTAGAATTCTAAGTTCAATTCAGACCACACTTAACAGAGAATCTGGCACGTATTAAGTGCTCAATAAATGGCCGTTCTGTTTTACTCCCATTAGGCGCATGGCGAAACAAACTTAATTTTACTGCACTGGGAACAGGATGTAGAAATTAAGCAGATAAACTCTACACTCTAATTTTCACACATAAAAGACTCTATTGTTCCTGATAAATTATCGTTTACTGAGCGTTTACTGTGCTGAATGCCCTGTTATCACAACGCTGCTGTGAATGTTAAGAGCCTCATTATACACGACACAGCCTGTAAACTGCACTTAGTTCTTAACCCCAGGTCTGACCCCCCCAATCATTGTTTTAACACTAGGAGACCATCTAAAAAACGTTGTATTGGATCATGTATACCCTGAAGGCAAAACCAGCACCCAAAAATGATTTCCCTGTTTCTGTACTTTATACTGCTTCTGTTGCCTCCCACAAACCCGTCAGTTGCCTAGAGATCCTAATGGATCTTTTTCTTAGCATTACTCACTCCATGTGGCAAGAGATAATGTCCTGCCAGACTTCAGCAGTGCTTGATTATAAATTGGAAAGGGGCAGTTAATACTCTTCCCTGTATTGTTACCAAGTGGCCGCATCTTGGTTTCCTCCTCCCTCAGGATCGGAATGCGGGGTCGGGAGCTGATGGGCGGCATCGGAAAAACCATGATGCAGAGTGGCGGCACCTTTGGCACATTCATGGCCATCGGGATGGGCATCCGATGCTAATCAGGGCAGTGTTTGCCCACAACATGCACCCCCTCCCATCAGTTCCATCCCATGTGTACTATAATAAAGCAAGTCTTTGAGTATTCAGAGTTTCTGTTTAGAAGCATTTTTTCCTCTCACAGCCTATTACCCAGCTTGCTTAAAGATCTTCGGAGGTGCGCTGAGGTTTCATTTCTTGTTTCACAAGAGCTTTCTCTGTTAATCCAAGCTTGGAATGATTTATCATGCATTAAGACTTTATGAAAAGTATGATTCTTGTAAATCATTATTTAGCCCTTTAAGGTTGACGCTATTAGTTTCTCACCTTTAAAATGTTAAGTCTCGATTTCCTCAAGGTCACACTACAAGATTAACCAGCTTTATTTCCAGTGCTATTACGTTGTATACCCAAATATTGTCTTTCAGATATGACTTGATCAGAAAAAGAACAAATTCAAACCACTTTTGTAGCCTCAAAACTTCAGATGGCACTAGTGGTCAAGAATCCACCTGCTGTTGCAGGAGACATGAAACAGGTTCCTGGGTTGGGAAGACCCCTTGGAGGAGGGCCTGGCAACCCACTACCCTACTCTTGCCTGGAGGATCCCATGGACAAAAAAGCCCGAGTTTGCAGCCGGCCACGACTTAAGCAACTCGCACAGCTCACAGCTTGTCTCAGATGATTTTCTAACCAGCCGTCAATGAGGATGTAAACTTATCAGCTGACTCTCCCTCCTTTTAACTGGCTTAAGGCAGTTTCTCCATCATGAGAAGTGCTCTTCACCTGTACAGGCAACATATTCCTTGACACTGTTGAGTTGCCCCTCAAGTGTTTTCATTAATGGTGGAACTACCCTGGGTGTCTGTGGTTAAGACTCCACACTCCCAGTACTCAGGGCATAGGCTCAATCCCTTGTCCAGAACTAAGATGCCTCACTGCACAGCCAAAAAAACCCAGAAATTAAAAAGCCAATAAAAAATGGTAGTTTTTGATTAAATAAATACCTGAAGTTACCTTTGCTGGCCCAGTTCCCTAGAAGCAATCCTGCCAGTAATTCAAGTATAAAATCAATTACAAAGATACTGGGAGATAGTTTGGGGAAAAAAAGTAAGTTTTCATATAAGTCTCTGCTACCCAAAAACTGCTCCATGTTCAAAAATAAATATAAATCTTGAATTTTTTCTCCAGATTAAATAATTGAAATTATAAACATGCCTCAAAAGGGTTGGTAGGAAACTGTGATGCCTCCAAAGTCAAACCAATTATCTTGATACCTGATTAGATTTTTTAATACTTGTCCTTCATCCCTAACAATTTTAAGGGTTTAGAAATCAGGTGAGGAAATCCATACTGGAAGGAGTATTTAGGAGTAGCATCACCTACTTCAGATTCAATTTAGATACAAAAACTTGAAGCAGAATTCTGAGTATTAATTGGGGAGGGTTGCTGCCCAAGTGAAATTAAAGCTCAAAACTACAGTTAATTTGGGAAACCAGTTTGAATTTACCCAATTATTTACTTTTAAATAATGAAGCCCGCCTGACCAAAGATGCCCAGGCAACACAGGAGAAACTAAATGCCCAGGTTTGTGGCCTGGGCAAACCTGTTTGGGTTTTCTTTATATCATAAATCCTTCAATTTTTATACAATATCCTAAATAACAAGTGTACTAAAACTAATACAGAGGAATGTAGAGGGTCAACTCAAGGACAACAGTTTCACTTAAGTTCTGAAGAATCAACTAAAAAAGTCAAAGAAACTAATAGTCTATTGTAATCTCCAAGTTTCTATGACTTTAAAATGTCTCAAAAATGAAGATTTCTTGTGGCCTTTTTAAGAGAATTTTATTTGAGTGGTTCTTACAAAGATTGTTGCAATATGAAAGTCATTTGTTTGATAGAAATATCAAGCTGTCTTGTCAAACACACTGAAGTAACCCAAAAATATATTTCAGAGCTCACAGAGCTTAAAAAGAGCAAAGATTATATGCAACCAGACAAAACCTATTTCTGCATTTCCTATTTCTTGCTCAGACTGCTTTGCTTACCAGACTGTCACTAAACATCTTGAGGAAATGCAGGGATCATTTTGTTTGGAATCTTAAGACACACCAGAACACATAATATTTACAAAGAAACTTTTACAGATACATTAATTGAAAAGATACCATCCAGAAATGTATTTTTGAAACCGTTTCTTGCCAATTGATCAGAATGCAAGATGACATGTTAAACAGCCCGTTTAGCTGTCTTAATGTCCATAAACTAGGTATTCCAGAAACCTCTGCTAAACCATTAACCAAATATCAACATTAGTGAAATGTAACTGCTGTGTAAAAAGTTAGGCTTCTGAAACATTAAAAATATTACATCCCCGTCTGCCTTTTTATGTTAAGCACATTTGTTCCCCTACAACTATTCCTATAGATCCTTAATGTAATTTTCTACATGTACATTTAAAAGGCAGAACAAGAGAACAGCTTTGTATACAGTGGGATTTGCTAGTTAGGGAGAATGAGCACACTGCATTCCTGTTAACATTTTTATTTTTCCAAGGTAACAGGAATTGTATACAAATGACAGTAGACCCTTGCCTCTTTATTTTTTATCTAAATAAAAGATAACTCAAGATGAATTCTCAAGAAAGAAAAAAAGCTATGTACATAAAGGACTATATTTTCCTTCATCGTCTACTTGGAACCAGTAGTTGTGTTGCTGTCATAGAATCAGGGAAGAGGTTGTGATAAGTTGGAAGAGGTACATATGCTGCTGTTATCATTTTACCTGTTGAAAGAAACAGATATGATGGTTAGCATCTTCACTTAGACCGTCAAAAAAAAAAAATTACTCAGAAAAAGGTCAAACTCACCCGCAAACCACCTGCCATGCAACGCATTGACAGCAGCAATGGCTGCAGCAATTGATGGGCACTTCACATACACATTGCCCTAAAATACAACAAAAAATATTTAACGTGCTGTGATATATACAACATGGATACGAACAGGATTATTCAAATTGACTGTACAAAAACTGCTCTATAACCATATAATTATAGCTCCACTAGCTAATATGTACCTAGAAATTTACTGAAAATAGTTTATTATCCACAGAACTAGCCATGTTACTATCTTCTATGATTTGAAAGCAGCTGAAGGAAAGCCAGGTACCAGATTTCAAGGCAAGCTTTGAATACGAACCAGCAACATTACGTGATGACCTGATCTAATCTTCAACTATTTGAAAACTTTTTACTGTGAAGGGAGTATATTAGTCAGTATGTTTTCAGGATACTAGTGAGCTTCTTTAAGGAAAAACCACGACCCAAGTATGTTTGAAAATTAAGACACAGAAAGTTAACAGTCAAAATACCTGAGCTGAATTTTTGTCAACATAAATATGAATAACTCCTCCATGTTTGTTACATTCTTCAATCACATCGTCTTTAATCTCTGTATCCCATCCAACTTCTTCTTCTCTGTAACAAAGTATTAAGTTCATTAGAACAACTCAAACTCATGAAATGATACAATATATATTCTATTTTTAAAAAATCTATTTTAAAAATAATGGGCCTTTTGAAATGGTTAACTGACATCTTTCAAAAGATACTTATACCAAGCTTATCATCATTTCATAGGATCAGGAACACTATCCTGTTAATACAAATAAATACTAATATAAACTTCACAGAAAAACTACTAGGTATAGATGGAAAACAAAATCTGCTAAGTTTTCAGCTGAATTCCAGCCTTACTAACACATTCAAGGGAATAATTAAATAATTAGTAATGTGCATAAAAATATAAACAGTTAAATGGTCAGAATTGTAGCAATACTTGAACTATGAAATATGTTGAAACATCCTAAGTATTAACTCAGACAAGTTAAAGATAACTTAAGACCCTTTGAACTCGACCAAAGTAAATTACTTACGTTTGAGGATTAAACATGTTAGAGAGTTGGAAACACTGTGTTGCCAGAGGTTGAACAGAGGCAGCTGCAGCTAACGCTGAAGCTAAAAAAAAAAACCCAAAAAACAGAAATTAGTTTCATGGAAAATGCATCAGAGTATATCCCTATGAATAAAACAAAACCAAATATAACCACTGGGCCCAAGTGAAAACAGGGCCATCAGTTCATTTACTAATTCCCCATATTTGATAATGCTATCAAATATCAACATATGTAACAATATTCTATTTTAGCTGCCAGAAAGCAGAGGCAACTTCATATTTGAGATAATTGATCTTGAATAAATTGGGAGATTTATCTTTATAAAGGGAAATTAAACCTCAAGTGTAGCCAATATTCATTCCGTTAGACAAATATCAATACAGTTCAAGGAAATAGTACTGAGTTTGTAGGATTACTAAGAGTTCATACTCAGGGGGTGATGAAAACACAATCTTTAAAATCCTGACTAACTCTAAATAAAAATCTTGTTAGGTTATCTGCCCATGAATATACAGTCACATATTTTCTTATAAATATACAACCATTATAAAAAAGGATGATGTTTTAAAAATAATATACATAAAAATCATCCAAGTATTTAAAGATTATTAAAGATTAATATCCTAGGACTATAAAACGTACAACAAAGTCTTGCAGTCTAATTTTTAAAATACTTGAAACAGTAAAAAGAGTAACATGTATCTCTAATAGTCACTGTTGAAAATTAAAACCGATACTAATATTTAGGAGCAAATTTAAACCAATATTGATTTTAATTTTGAAATGACAGCATTTTCCACGATATTTGCTCCATTGCTTTTACGTGACTTAAAAAGCATTACCAGTAGCTGATACAGAACTCACCGTAATCATAATATTTGATCAAATTGCATTCCAATACATAACAACAATAAACAAAGCTATGGATAAAACAGTACATTAGAAATTATGGTACTTAAAATGAACAATAACCTGAGAAGTATCAGAAATATTCCATTGAATAAAAATTAGGGCTGTGCATGAATACATCATAAAAAAGATTTCTGGTAGAATAACAAGTGCTTTTTCACTTCTTTATAGTTTATTTTGATAAACAAGTATTAGTCTTTCATAAAACTATGAAAATAAAAATGCTGAAATAAGTAACATCAAATTCTACTGGAGAAATTTAAAGATGCAAGTGTGCCTGTATTATAATTAAAAAAAAAAAAATGAAGCCCACTGTGTACCTTATCATAAACCAAAGTAGTATGCTTGGAAAAAATACTACAAGGTCATTATAGACTATCAATACTGAAAAATATTAGAAAATGTATGATGCAAATATTCCAGCTCAGCCTAGATGAATGCAGAACACAACAAATTCAGCATAGAAATATATAGCTAAGGAAAATCCACCAGTTTTACTTTCAAAAATCTGTTAGGAAAAAATAAGATTGAATACAATTGTCTCATTTGCCAAAAAAATAAAGATACACATTCAATTCCTGACTGTCAAGTAATAAGGATAGACCTTTATCATACAGATTTACTCAATAGACTTTAAAGTATATCTTGTAAGATAGCAAATTACTGCAACAGAATGCTCTGTAAAATGGCAGAATTTACTTGATAATTAATTAAGACCAAGAAAAAGACAGATTATTTTATAAACTGTTTCAATCTCTGAAATCTGCATGCAACTAACTTAGTTCTGGATAATCTTCTCACTGCTTGGTACTGTTTATAGTAATGGAATAACAACAAATGATGCAACAAAATTAACCCTCATTCTTTAAAATGATACCAGATAATTCTAAAGATTACATTCAAAATTGGGAGTCAATAGGAAGTTGCATCCTGTCAGTGATTTATTAATGCATATCACTGGAGTTAAATTTTTCCTGACCTTAATAAATTCAGACTCCCTTGTCTACTTAAATGACAAGTTTCATTGTCTGATATCTATATAAAGCTTATAATCAGAACACAAAGATAAGCATACAAAGCTGAAAAAAACTCTAAGCAAACTACAGCCAAAAAAAAAAAAGGCACGGACATTTACCATCTTTATTCAGGTAACTATAATGATGCATATTAGGCCTTCTTTGTATAAATTACCAGATAGCTTACGGTTAATGACACTGTATGTCTTTCTGACAAAATCGGGCCAAAAAGACAAACTACAATAATAATGATATACATACACGCACAACTATGTCTTATACTACCATTTATATCCACTTAAAAAACAAATAAAAAACTCAACTCACCTTCAGTCTGTTGGGAAAGTCTTGTTTGCAAATCTATAACAAAAGAGAATTCTACAGCTCAGTGCAGGAACAATGAAGAGCCTCAACTAACAGGGTAAATGTCAGGAGAGCATTAATAAAAGAGGACTATGGTAGCAGGGTTTATCAAAACGAACTTATAGTAAAACCTGGCAGCCAAACCTCCTTCCCCATTCCTCATTGACAAGGCTTTGGGGCCTTTTTCTTTTCCTCCTATCCTTATACCTTTCTCTTCCTAGTCCTATAACTCTTTCACATCTCAATGGATTCCACTATACTACTATTCATTTGGGAATAATGGGAAATGGGGAAAGGGAAGCACACCGGTCAGAAAATGTATGAAAACCCTGATCTTGAGAATTCAATTCCAAGTACTTGGGTTATTCAACTTTTTATTATTCTATCAGTCTCAGTAAGCATTTTACATTTAGAAGTTACTAGTAAAAGAATACTGCAACAGTAAATGTCAAACACTGTCAATAAGTAGTGACTACTCTAACCATATGTATATACTATTTTTTAAGTCTTTTTAAGTTTTAAATTGTCATGTCCAGCCCAGAAGGTGATAGTTTTATTAGGTCTGGTTTCTTAGCGTATTTTGGAAATTTAATGAGGCATGAATGAAATCTAGTTAGATTTACTATAATCTATGTATTACTAGAAAAATTTAAGCATCTAGTCTCTCTTAAAAATGAACAGAGTAGTGATTTCTACTAATACAATTTCTCATATATAATCATTAAAATTCTACATGAGAAGGCAAATGAAGAGAAAGCTGCAACTTTCTTAATTTCAAATGAAAACAGAAGTATGAATAGTAAACAAAATGTCATAGTATCTAAAGCTATCTTTTTAAGTTTAAAATAATACAACAAAGAAATTGGCTTCAGTTACCTAATTTTCAATAACATGTGATTCAATTGCATACTTTATTACTATGGGGGTTTCTTGCTGAGTATAGAAAATCATAAAACATGGGCAAAAATGAAAAGGGATCAGCAGCCCAAGTCATACACGGATGTAAGAATACCTGGGTCCTAGGTGCTCAAAATTGGCATCTCAGGGAGTTGAAGAAATGTAACTGGTGTATACTGAAGGAACTTGAAGATATGATCATAGGAACATTGTCAATAAACTTTAAATTTTAACACAATTTGTTTTTTTTTCCTAAAATGGGAAAAAATGTATAAGCATCAGAAATCCATGCTATATTAAGTGTATATAATCAAAATTTCAAAAATTATTCTTCAGGTCATTTGGAACCAGTTAGGAAACAAAGCATGGGTTTCATAAAAATAAGATCTTAGAAAACAGCTATTAAACTTTCAGAACAAAGACATGTTGATATAGTGATGGGCCACTCTTGGTTTCAAAAAACAGCTTTAAAGAACTTAGGCCCAGGCCCTCAAATACATTAACATTCAGCAATTTAATACCGAATGTGTAAGATTTTAATGACAGGAGAAATATACCCAGTTATGCAAATATGTGATTACTAATTCAGAATAGCAATTTATGGGAAGTTTTAAGAAAACAGAATCATCTATCAATAAACAATGGGCTTCCCTGGTGGCTCAGCCAGTAAAGAATCCGCCTGCAATGCGGGAGACCTGGGTTCAATCCCTGGATTGGGAAGATCCCCTGGAGGAGGGCATGGCAACCCACTCCAATATCCTTGCCTGGAAAATCTCATGGAGCCTGGCAGGCTACATACAGTCCATGGGATCACAAACAGTCGGACACGACTGAGCAACTAAGCACAGCATATCAATTAACAATAAAAAGTGGGGGGGGGGGGGAGTGTAAATATGACAAATAGGTAACTACGTGGCTATTTTAAGCAACTCATAAAGTATGTTCAGCATTATCAGCCTTAATGTAAACTCAATAAATGTGCCCAGGCAAGTGTAATCATTCTTCATTCACCAGGACAAAAAACTGAGGGAAGTAACAATGTCCACAACACAGAAAATCTATAATTAGGCAAATATACTGTTAACAAACCAAATCAATATACTTGATACAGCACCCAGGGTATAAGGTAAGATTGTTTAAAAATTAAATGTGTGCCTTTGTATTAAATCCCTAAAGTACCAGCCTCTACCAAAAAACCAAAATATGGTAAATAATCAAGCATTTTTCTAAATTATTGAAAGAATGACCTAACAATGGGAAGCAATAGGAGGACACGTTTTCAGAAAACAGTAACTCTGAAAACCAGAGACTACGATGTTATTTCTGCAGTGATGGGTTTCTTTAGTTTTCTTCAGTTACACTAGGTGGCATTCAGTGACTATGTGTTCACAGTAAAGAAATGAAATGACTAATATTTGTTCAAAAGTCAAAACAAAACAATATAGGAAAACCTGGAGTCACCAAATGACTCATAATTACAGAAATGTTTAATAGTTGCAATTTTTGTTTTGTGGATACACTAGCATGGTTGTTTAAAGAACTTTACCTATCGGATTTCAAAATTTAAGTCAGTTTGAAAGGAACCATGAGATGCTAAAGAAAAAACAAGCTCTCAAATATTCAACTAGAAAAAGGAAAACACAGAAGCGCCCACAATAAATAATATAGAAGCAGAAATGATTGTCTCCTTTAATTAATGGGTTCTCAACTTAAAAGGAAATCATGAAGCAACCACATGAACTTTCCCTATATTCAGATGTGGTACCACAATCCTATATATTTTACATATTGACAGTCTCACTTTATAGCTTTATAAGATCATGGGACCAATGTGTAACTAAAAATCACCATACTTTCTTAGATTAGTGTTTGTCATCTCAAGTCCAAAATACAGTGGTTTACTCTCATATATTCTGCAAACAAATCTTCTAACATTGAAATTTAATGCTATCTTAGCTAATAGATTTGGGTAATTTCAAGTAACTGAACCACAAAAGAGAAAAAACAAAGTGTTCATAAACTAAGCCCACTGTTACATAACTGTAACAAACTATCAATTCAACTCCCTCTTCCTTCCCCTCACCTCTCCAGGAACTTCATTCTGTAAGTCAAAATCTCAAAATACAGTTGGCCTTCAAATTTAAGGAATTAGGGACACCAACCATCTGAGTAACTTAAAATACATATGTAAGTTTTATTTGGCTCTCCATATCCTTGGACCTTCCAAATCGTGGATTTAACAACACAAACCATATGGTGCAGTAGTATTTGCTATTGAAAATAAAGGCACATGTCTAAATAACCCTTGAAGTTCAAACCTGTGTTGTCCAAGGGTCAATTGTAGTTATGTTCTAATTAGAAAAGTAGTTTTCTCCGCACTCAAAAGCTTCATTTAAAGGACTTTAAAATAAAACTTTCTAATCTCAAACATTACAAAAGATTTTTCCTTTGAAACAATAGGAGCTTTCTGGTCTTCAATAAAAGTGATACATTTAAACATTTAACAATTTACATCACTTTCAACTAAAAAAAAAACTGGTATGCAGGGTTCAATAATACCCTGACAGTTTATTATGATCAGTAGCTAAGTCTGTCCTATATCACCATTTCCGTACATTAACTCCTGAAATTTGTAAGTTAAAAAAGTACTTGATGAATTGAATTCTCAGTAAGTCCTTTTAAATGCAAAAATTTGGAAAATTTTCGAATTAGGTGAAAAAAACAATGATTTCAAATAGAAAAGATTCAATTCCTACCTGCCACAGCACCAAATGCCAAAGAGCCACTCATTTGCAAAGCTTGCTGTGCTGCTGGCGGGATCTGCAAACCTGTACCTGTAAAAGAATAGGTCTTAATGTCCCTGCTTTGTTAAAGAGTGGAAAAATCTTCTGATTACTTAATACCAAAGTCAATTTTTAAGAATTACAGTGGCCCTTTGGTAGCCAGGTGGGTAAGAATGTTTCCAGGATCCCCTTGGTTGTCAAACTCCACAAAGGCTGAAGTCCCATATATGAAGAGGTATGGTACAGTTTGCCCTCCGTACTCAAAGTATACTGAACCTACAGATACAGAAGGCCAACTGTACAAGCAGGACAGAGTAAATGCTGCAACTAAAGTATAAGGATATTAATTATTATAGAAAACAAAAAGAATCCTGTTAACATGTGCCGTGACATTCAAAAAGCACCATCATAAAGTAGATTCCACTAGAACTTAAAGGCAAAGGATTTCGCCTATGAAACCATGTGTACTGCTCAAGGAAAACAGTCAACCTCAAAATAAGAAAAATCATTTTCCACAATTTTCCAGTTGTTTACAGTTATGTTTCTCGTTACCATATTCACAACAGTAGGACAAACTTACCCTCTGCAAGTCTTGCCATTAACTGGAGACGACCAGTTGTTCCCAAGTCAATTCCAGTCCTTTCCAGTTCATCACTGTCCAAAAATGAGCTAGCACTGGAAGCATCAGTACGTTCAGTGACATGACCAACTTTCATGGGCCTTCCTGCTAGCTCAAATCCATTAAGTTGTTCCAAAGCTTTCTTGGCACATTCTGAATCAGAAAACTATACAATTGAGAGGGGGATAAAAGGTAATTACTTATATGCAAGGCAAAGAAACCTCAACTTATTAATGCTAGTATATTCAATAACTACATCTGGAAGGATAAGAGTAACAAGCACAAGCTTTACATGATGTAATCAATGTAACCTAAATGTAAACTAAAGCAATCATTGGAACACATTGCTAAAATTGCTATCATGTAATTGGTCTGCATCATGAACTAAGCTAAAAGTAAGAGTTTACTTTTAAAAGGGTACCTCCATTCACAATTATTCCAGCTGTCACTTCATACCCTATCAAGGACTGGGTTTCCATGGTCAGCTACTTAAGGCAATCCTGGTCATGGTATGTCAAACCATATTATGTCCATAATAAAAGTTAAAATGTATTCCAAAAGACTTTACTGCAACTAACATCGTGGGTCACACGAGTTAAACTGAAGAAGTGATTGCCTTCAATTACATGAGGAATTGGCTAAACAAATTGTCCATAAATAAGAAGACAGCAAAGTACTTTGAAGTTTTGCATTTGGGAGGATATTTTCAGCTACTAAAAATTGGCCACTAACAGCAAACTAATTTAAACCACTTGAAAATATTAACTTTATCCCTTCCCCACTATGAATAACTACTCAAGTTTTACACTATGCTACACAGATTGGAAAAAAAGTTCAAGTCATTATATTAATCATGGTTAACTGCTTACCGTAATAAATCCATATCCCTTGGATCGACCTGTTTCACTATCCATCATGAGCTGGATACTTTCAATCTAAAAATGAAAACCACAATTATTATTTATGCAAGTGAAAAGGAGGGGCAAAAAATTTCTTGAAGTACAATTTTAAAATGTCTCTCCCTGAAAGAAATCGAAAACATATAAAAATCCCTCATGCCCAGAATAACTTCTTTCTAGAGGCCTGGGAACATATAAGCAGGGGAACCACCTTAATCTTTTGCAAGAAAAAACACAATCTGAAATTCTCTGTAGAATATGTTAAAAAACCAAATCAACATGTTTCCTTCACATTATGCTAAAACACACCAATGATTAATATGCAACTATGCCAGACATAATTAACTGCGCAAACTGTTGGAATAATTAAAAACAACAACTGGATGTGGTTGATAGTTTGTACAACTCTGTGAATCAAAGTCACAAAGCAGTGACTATTCACCTTAAATGAGGGAACTGTGTTATTACAAAGGAAAGAATTGTAGTTACATCACAATATTGCAACAAAGCGAGCCACACAGAGGAAGCATGAAAAATTAAAATACAGCATCCATATATTTCTTTATGTATCGGTTGTTTCAAGAACATATTAGTTTTGTAATGATTGATGTAATTATGATTTATGCACAATTACCATATTTCCAGTAACTAGAAACTACCCACAAAAATCAACAGCCAAACGTTCTCATTATTAACACTTAAAATAATTTAGGATTTCCCAATTTAGGCTTTACCTGGTCTCAGGTGGCAAAAAATGTGCCTGCAATGCAGGAGACCAGGGCTCCACCTGGGTCAGGAAGATCTCCTGGAGAAGGGAATGGCTACCCATACTCCAGTATTCTTGCCTGGAGAATCCCATGGCCAGAGTAGCCTGGCAGGCTACAGTCCATGGAGTTGCAAAGAGTCAGACACAAATGAGTGACTTAACACTTTCACTACTTTTTTTTCAAAACAATTTAACAAAGGAGTTGAGTGGGATAGCAAAAGAGAACAATGAAATATATATTCAAAGGCAATAAAGATTAAGTAGCAGATAAAGTACAGCAGGAACAGAGATTTTTATTCATGACCACACATAAAGTTTAATACAGAGCAGGTAGTTCAGTGGTAAAGAATCTGCCTGCCAAATAAGAGAGGTGGGTTCAACTCCTGGGTTGGGAAGAGCCCCTGGAGAAGGAAATGGCAACCCACTCCAGTATTTCTGTCTGGGAAATTCCACGTGCAGAGAGGAGCCTGATGGGCTACAGTCTATGGGGTTGCAAAGAGTCAGACACGACTTAGCGACTAATCCACCACCACCACCACACCACAGCCTACTGATAACATTTATTCTAAACATTCTTCTAAAATGAGGAGAACTAGACTTATCCTGGTGATTATTTTGATAAATATATAGAAATATCAAAGAAACCTATGCTGTGTACCAGGAAAATAGTGTTGCAGTTTAACTGTACTTCAAAAACAAACTCACAGAAAAATAACATCACATTTGTGGCTAACAGAGGGGTGGGTGGAGAAAAGTTAAAGTAGTCATAAGGTACAAACTTCCAGTTGTAAGTTCCAGAAATGCAATGTCTGATTATTTACAGTTGTATATCATAAACTAAGGCTCAAGAGTAAAGCTTAGAGTAAGTTAAGACTTAAGAGTTCTCATCACAAAAGAAAAAATGTTATCTATTTCTTTAATGTTGTATCTGGATGAGATGATAGATGTTCACTGCACCTATTACAGTACCAGTTTCATGATGTAAGTCAAATTATTCCATTGTACAGCTGAAGCTTATATAGTGCTATGCTCCAATTACACACTCCTAAATTTTCAGCAAGAAAAGTATCCAAAAATAAACCAAGGGGGAAAAAAATCTCTTGTTCCAGTGTACAGTACATTTTATCATTCAGGTTGACTTTTAAAAAATTCTAATAGAACCACTCCCTCCCATCTTAACATTAATATCTTAGAAACATCACAAAGCAGATAAATTATGCAGCTACATTTGTTTCAAGAACCTATTTAGGATCCACTGAAAAACTTGAGACTTACCCTTCCAAATGGCTCAAAAATCCCTCGAAGCATATCTTCAGTTATGTTAAAGTGCAACGAGCCCACATAAAGCCTCATAGGTCCAGCACTTCCCTTTTGTAGATTGTTTGCCATTGCTGCAGCTCTGTTTTTCTCTGCCTACAAGTTAGATAAGACAAAATGCCCATCAATTTACAATGAATAAGTACCATTTTGAACACAGTAAATCCCACTCACATCTTAGGTTTGCTTAATGACAAATGATACCAAATTATGCGAATGTTAAGTCATACATAAAAGGACAAATATTGTATGATTCCACCTCATATGCTTGTCAGTACTGACACTGAATGGTACACCTAAAATGGTTCCAAAGTCAAATTTTTAAATTAAAATTTTAGATTTTACTGTATTTTTCAGTAAAAAATTTTTTTAGATTTAAGAGTATATACAAAACTGATAAAGCAGCATCCTGGTATCAGATGTACTAAATGTAGAAATGTAAGATTACTTCCTGGAACTAAATTTACTCATTCACTAAAATCTGTTCTCAAGATCACTGTTAATATACAGTATACCAACTGGCTACCCATCTTAAAGAACTTATGCAATATAAATCAAACTATGTAAACCATTCAGTTCAGCAGTCATTTTTCTCCTATCAAGTCCTCCTCAAACGAAACGGTTCTCAATTTACATTCTAATACAAACTCCTTTAACAAACTGGGCCACCATAGGAGGTTAAAATTAAATGCATTAAAAATCTCATTTATAAACTTGATTCTTCTCAGCCCTTCGCCAGGACAAAGTGCACACTATTATAAGGTTTGTCCTCTGTCATATGAAATGAATTAACAATGATACCCACAGCCTGCACCTTAACAATTATTTACCATCTGAGACACCAGGGAAGTCCTGGGCTCCTACTGTTTACCTATAATCAAAGGGTACTCAACAATGTTACATACTCCTAAAACATTAGATAGATGGTAGTAATTTGAGCAAATTTTGAGTTTGTTAACAGTGAAAACCGCGATTTCACTTCAGAGTTGGTTAAATCCTGTGTCTAACTATAAAATATTAAAAGCTTTTGATGAGCAACCAGATTTCTCAGAAGTTATGTGAAGTACATATTTCAGGGGTCTAAAAAGGAATGAGTATAACTATACTGTTATCTCATATTGCTCAGAAAATATTCTTTAAATCCTTGGGAATTCCCTGGCGGTCCAGTAGTTCGGGTGTTTTCACCGCCAGGGCCCAGGTTCAGTCCGGGGCTAGGGAACGTAGATTCCACAAACCATGCGATGAGGTCAAAAAAAGATCTTTAAGATCTATATTCTCCATTTCAAAAAGCTAAGTTATCTGGTAGTCACAGAAAGTAACTTGTTTTTCTAGTATAAATAAGTACTGATGATAAATCCTAAAAGTATTTTCATATTAGATACTCAGTAGTAATGTATTCCAGTTTTTCCACATCTAAATGAACTACAATATTAACCCTGATTTCATTTTTCCAAAGGCAACAGTCAATTATCATGAAAAATCAGCTAAGAGAAATTAAATTTGGGTTATCTTAAAAGACATTTTCAGAATTAGTCTGAAGCATCTTACTTTCAAATGTTAGAATTTCATAAAAATTGTGAAAATATATTAAAAAATGTGAAAAACATTCCATTTGAAAGAAAGGGGAAAACATGTTCTTAGATGCTTCTAACCCCAAGTAAGTTATCACAAATCAATAAAATTCTAACACAAGTTCAATTCTTCAGCATGCAACAAGTATTTCCAACTTACATTAAAACAGAAGAGAATTTTGAGAATACAAATATATCAAAGGAATCAGGTTTTTTTGGTTTTTAAAAGCTGTCCTGAGAACATCTAACTCAAGGTAGTAAGAGGTGATTTTGTAAGGCTCAAGGCACTGCAACACTAAGCAACAGCAGGTTTCTAGCACTATCAATGCTCAAATTCTTAACTAGGAAGTTACCTGTGATGCTTGTACTATGATCGGCACTCCTAAAACCCGCTGACCAGTTAATCCTATTGCTAGAGGCACTGAGCTAACGTCAACAAACTCCACATAAGCAATTCCTTTGGAACGTCTTGAATTTCTGTCAGAAATCATCCTCACATCACGAACCTAAAAAGAAAACATACACTTAACACAGGGTTCTGTTTATGCAACCATTCACAAGAAGTATAATCATTTCAAAAGACAAGAGGCACATAAACAATATTATGAAACAAGCAATTAAGATTTCTTAAAATAGGCATATTTGTAGGCTCAATTCATTTATCAAAATATATCAATTTCCAAAAATAAATTCCCTAAATTCCACCAAATAATTTGATTTAGATTTTTTTTCTCATTTCATTTGTCATACTGACAATTATTAAACTTCAGCTTAAACTTATTAAATTATTAAACTTCTACTTAAATTAGGTCCATAGGTAAGCTTAGATTACCTTTCCAACTGTAGAGAAAAACTCTTCCAAGTCCCTTGGCCGAATTCTTGCTGCCAGCTGCATGCAGAAAACAGTCCTTGCATCTCTTTCCTCAGGAGTGAGATTATCAATAGGTTCCCTAACAGGAGTAGAATATAGAATTAACTTCATAACTTCTTTCAAAGTAACATTTAATACATATTTTTAGTAAACAGAATAAACTTTCCTGTAACCAGTCTGTCACTACTCCCAAGCCCATTTTCACTATGATATATATAAAATGCTCATAAAATAATATGACCCAAATGCCTTCAACATAATGAGTTTCTAATGTTTCTTCTGATATTATCTTACATTATCAGGACCAAAGTCCATTGGTCTCTCAATCTTACAAATGTTATTCTCTCCAGGATAATAAACGGCCAATCAGAAGCCCAAGAATTTGACATTCCAAGTAATAACCCTTGACTAGACACAAATGTTGAACTGGTCCAAACTAGCAGAAAGGATGTTTCCCCAAAAAGAAATCATAGAGTAAAACTCAGTTTCATAATCACAAACAATAACTTGAAAGTAAACCACAAATGACTGAAACTATTTTGACTCTTTCTGAGTTGGACTATAAAGAAAGCTGTGCACTTAAGAATCGATGCTTTTGAACTGTGGTGTTGGAGAAGACTCTTGATAGCCCCTTGGACTTCAAGATCAAAGATTCAATCCTAAGGGAAATCAGTCCTGAATATTCATTAGAAGGACTGACGCTGAAGCTCCAACACTTTGGCCACCTGATGCAAACAACTGATTCACTGGAAAAGACCCTGATTCTGGGAGAGACTGAAGGCGGGAGAAGGGGATGACAGAGGATGAGATGGTTGGATGGCACCAGCGACTCGATGGACTTGAGTTTGAGCAAGCTCCACCAGTTCCTGATGGACAGGGAAGCCTGGTGTGCTGCAGTCCATGGGGGTCGCAAAAAAAAAAAAAGAGTTGAACACAGCTGAGCGGCTGAACTGAACTGATTTGGACTCTTAAGAACTTTATCTCATAAACTCAGATAGTCATAAAGAATAGTGGGGTAGCTGTTTACTAGAATTAGATTGGTCTTACTAAGACTACAAATTCAGTACCTGAAAAAACTACTTGATACTTCTTATAGCAGAGAGACACTAACAACGAGCAAATCAAAAGTAAAAAGCAGGAGGTACGGAGACAAGTAACAGTGGGATTTAATTTACTCATGTTTACAAATGTTTACACTTCTAAATTTACTGAGCACTTAAAATGCCCAAAAGTGAGAAAAGTAAAACAACACTGTAGATGAAATTTAACATCATGAAAGTCAGAGAACAATGTCCACTACTAAAATTATCTATTATAAAATTTCACTATGATTAAGGTTTTAATCCTTAAAAATATAAGCACAAATAAGCTCTTTCTTAACCATGTTCTGACATTCTCAGGAAGTATTTTTGAAACACTCCACCTACAAACCTCAGGTACATCCCTTGGGAAATCCGCAGTTATTTTAAACCTATTACTATAAAACAGAGATAGAAAGCCGACTAGATCCAAAGAAGGAGAACTAAAAATGAGCCTTCTCAGAAGAGAAAACTAAGTATTAAAAGAGTAAAAACTCAGTATTTGTTACAGAAACCCTTTAAAATTACTAAGGCTGTCACTTAAATCCTAGATTAGAATATGCCAAATAACAAGATACTTAGTTAAAAGACACCCTTTAAGGGAAACCAGAAGTAAAAAACAATGCTATCATATAACAAAATGTTCCTTGAACCAAAATTGTACATTGTATTAGGTCAGTCTTATCTTCATTTAATAGAAAAATACCTCCCAGAAACAGTCAAAAAGAGTAAAAAGCACAAGTCAATTCAGTTAAGAGTTTGGAGATTAAACACTTCTCTCAAGTAAGGGAGCCAAAATGATAAAACTCCTGACTATTTTCACTATTTTCCCGCAGGAAGTTATTTCAAAAACTCATTATTTCCAAAGGTAAATAAAGTCTGAAGTTTCCAATAGCTACCATTAAAATTTTTTTAGTTACTATAAAAGAGCAATAAAAGCACATAGAATATCTACAATTAAAGTGGCCATTTTTGCTCCATTCTTCTTGGATATAAGTTACTGAAAACTTTGCAATTCACATTAATAACAATAGGACTGCAAACCAAATAAAGATTTAATATGATCCAAGTTAGTGAATGTCATTAAATTTTGCAGTAGCATAAATTGTAAAAACTTTACAAAAGCTAACATTGCAAAAGAAATGGAGACAACAATTACCTCACAGGGCTCTTGTCTTTCCTGAATGGACTTTTGCTTCGAGAACGTCGTCTGCTGCAAAGTTAAGAAATTTCAAAAGTTACCCAAACAAGTACACCACATTAGTTCCTTGAAAAACAATTTAAACAATTCAGAAGTATGTTTAAAAACCTTAATTTGATGCTATGAGGCAACCCAATCTTTCCTCGGATGGCACTGTTAAATTTTGGTCCGGAGCTAAAAAGGAAACACAAAATTACACTAGTTACAGGGTTAGGGTCTTGCTAAGATCGCGTTCATGCGCTCTCCAGCAAGTTTAACATTGTTTAGGCTGTTTGTTTTCCACCTCAATTATGAAGAGGAAATAAAAGACTTTCAACTCTATCCCAGGCAAACTGTTCTTACAGTTATCCATCCTGGACCACTGAGAGGTGCCAAGACCAAAGGTTACAGCCTCAAAATTTCTAATATTCTGAAAATGCTTAAATTTTCAGTCTCGTTTTCTTTGATTACATATTTATGAGTACACTCCTGAGGTTTGGGGGTTGGGGGAAGCACATGTAGTGAAAATTATCCTGAACTTCCCTCACACCAGGAATAAGTATAATTAACTTGGTGTGCATCTCTGCAGATCCTTCCTCAGGAATATACATGTTTATATATATATACACATACAATATTCATATGTTTTGAGTAACTTTTTTTGGCCATGCTGCATGGTTTGTGGGATCATAGATCCCTGTCCAGGGATTGAACCCAGGCCATAGGCAGTGAAAGTGCACAGTCCTAACTACTGGACTGTCAGGGAATTCCCTTGAGAAGATTCTTTGAAAAAATAGGGGACTTATTCTTTATATTCAATTCCAATTTTTCCACTTAACAGTTAAGTCTCCGAAACTGCATATAAGCATATTTAAGCATGTCATACACTTCAGTTCTTGGTGACAAAACAGTACTAAAGATGTGAAGGAAGTTCATCAACCCCTCAGGAAAATTTCTTTTCAGGACTTTGATTATATTAAAAGTGTGTTTTCAAAGCTTTACTCTGTAATTTAAAACACTCTAAAAAGGCCCAGTATTTTATGGCCCTTTTATTTTGAAAGACCAAACTAACTTAAAAGGTCAGGTCAGATGTCTTAGTGCTCATCCTGCTATCCTTTACCAGATGGGTAGCAAAATGAAAATATATAGTGGTCCTCAATTCACATTGAGATTTGTTGTCATGGACTCTACATGTACCTATTACACCCAACAAGGCCCAAATAAAACTGTACTAAACAGGTCCTTTGCAAATCACACTAAAAGTGACTATTAAGAATATACATTTACTGGATATGTAAGTCTAAGCTATTTCTTTCTTTCCCCTTTAATTGTAAAAGTTCCAATTACTGCCTTGGTAGTTAAAGATCACGTGAAACCAAATTTAAGAACCAAGTCAATTTTAAGTCAGACCAGAATCACAGGCTGACTTTCAGTATCCATCATTGATGAGAAATAACAGTATTCAGAATTATTAATCTTCCCCAATATTAAGTTCATTCTGGCAAAAAAGAATGAAGTAAATTTTTATAAACTGGACAAAAAGCTAAGTATTTTCCCAAAAGAGCACTTAAAATTAACACATTGTGGTCCTTTTTAAACTGTTACAAAGTTTGTAAAATAATCAGCTAAGAGGACCTTGGAGAACAAGGAGTGGAATCCTTTCATTGAAAAACTAGAATCAGAACTCTAAGTGTTACTAACTTTATCTGCTTCAAGTAATACCAAAACGTTTCATCAATAGCACTAAGTACTGTGGGTGCTTTAATTTAATCCTCTTCTCATTCAAAGCTTATATCAGTAGTTACACCTCCTTCTTAAAAGATGAGAAAACTAAAGCTTAAGAATCCTTCTTAACCAAGTGAAAAAGCCAAGGCTCTGATCCCAGACTCTCTTTGAATTCAATCAAATTCAATTAAAACTTAATTTTAATACAGTCCATTGCTTACAATATATTTATTAATAAGAACGAACATCATAAAGCACTAGGGACTGTTAGATTCAATCCCTGCTTAAGAGTTGTAAGGCTCTTTCCAAAGTCATTTGTACAGTTTAGCTTTTTAAAAATAACTATAATGAAACATTTTCAACTGGTTCAAATTCCATGCAAATTTCCAGTGCTTTAACCTTCAAGAGCACTTTTACTGCATTCTTGCTATTAAGATACCTTTAAGATGTGTGATAAGCGCCCCCCCAATAATATAAAAAAGCATACACAAAATTCACAATTAGTGTGTCATTTCAGCTGAAAACAGCCAGACAAGATTGTTAACTAATTACGTATGTGACTAATTATATATAATTTGTATCCAACTGAGTTTTAAATTTTTAAATAACTTATGTCCAGTAAAGAATACTGTTAATAGCTCACAGACTTTACGCTTTCACATATTTGGCACTACAACATCCAATCTTTTTTTAAAAGCACTTTAGTGCTTTAGTCTAGTTTGGAATGGCACACAGTTAAAGTACTTTTAGATGGCAGTAACAAAATGTTCTGTATGCCTAGTAAAACCAGTATTATCTGTCCACACACTGTATTTTCTACTGGATTTTTTGATGCCAAAATCCTTATATATAATAGTGAAAAATAAAATTCCACAATTCAAATCACTCTGGTTACATTGCTATCTGGACACCCAGAGAAATCTCTCAAACCAGTATCATCATAATTATAGTTACATACTAAGGACTTCTGTAGCGGCCTCTGAATCTGCGATCTCGACTTCTTGAACGGCTCCGTCTCCTTTCTTTGCTTCTACTTCGCTTCCTTTCACGGCTTTTGCTCTTTTTCCTTTCTCTATCTCTACTTCGCTTCCGTTCCTTACTTTTGCTTCTTTTTCGTTCATGACTACGACTTCTGCTCTTGCTTTTTTTCCTCCTGAGAAGAAAAAAGTCACCGTCATCTTGCTGATTTAAGAATCTGCCAAAATATACTTCCCTTTACGGTCAGAAACATTTTTGTAAAATTATTTTGCTATTTTTACTATCATACAATGATACATAATAATCACTTATGGAAAAATAATTCCAAGGTAAGGTAAACAACACCCCACCTTTGCCTTCTACTACTGAAAATCAGCAGTCAGCTGCTAATGAATCATTTGAGAGAGAGAAAGATACTATGATGTTATTTGAGAGTCAGCTATAGCTTTAAGAAGAGGACTTGCTGGTAGGTATAGATCAAAATCTGAACTTTTAAACAGAAAGTCCGATCATGTAACTGGCCAACCATGTATTACTGTAATCCACAAAATATGAAGTCAGAGTTAACAGAATACTTTTTCATCAAGTATTAGTGCTGGATGAAACGTAAAAATTGTCATTAACCCACTGATTTCTCTTAAGTAAAGCCTATTTTGACCCAATTTGCACATATGAGTATTTTATACTTTCAAAGGGCCATACAAGCATCACTATTTTGGAGTTCATGGGCAAAATTGTTACATATAACAACAAATGACAAACTAACACAGTAAAATGCACTCTGACACTCCTGGACTTAAATTTTTTTCACTCCTGGACTTTAATGTGACCATTTCAAATAATTTCTTTTTAAGGTTACAGTGAGTACACCAGATACTGGAGCATGCCATTTTTATGCCAGTTTATACAAGCCTGTGGGATACAATCAGTAAGAATCAACACCTTTATAAATCTTTATAAATTTTCAAACTCTGAAAGGTAAAAAAGCCAGTCAGTATTATCTTTTCCTGTTCATTTCTGTATTCCTCACAGCATACCACCCATCTATTTCATACCTCTGTCATCACCTAAATTTTAGAGGTGCCTTCAGATATTCCAATATAAATTGAAAGACATTTCAAATTAAACTTATCCACTTAAAGGTCATTTTGTAGTGGCAAAAAGATTAAACATTGTGACAACTACATCATTTGGAAATTTAACTGTTTAGTCCTTAGCAAAGCAAGCTTAGCACAACGAGCAACTGAAGTCTGCCTCAGAGAACCTGTAAAGCAGGTCATCTTAGAGTGCATTGAAAATAGAAAATGAAGACACCCACCTTCTGGAATCTTGAAACCCACACTCCAATCACAAGGAGATGTAGAGCTTTCCAAGGAGGCAGAAACTTTGTCTAAAATTTCAAGATAATCCACCTGACTGTCAGAAATGTATATGCTAGGTAGCACATGACAGAAAATTAGGCTACACTCATTACTTTTACAGACGTTATCAAAGCAATGCCCAGAAGGGCAACAGATAACATTCCAACTTTGTTGCCTAAAAACCTGAAACTATCTCTTAGACTAAAGAATTCTGTGAGACAGCTATCAAAAATCCTAAATATTATCAAGCAGGGGACAAAGTTAACACTCCATCCCTCACAAAAAGGACAAAGATTTGCTCTGCTCATAGATGGCCCATTGCAGAGGCAGCCAACCTTCCAATTTACCTCTTTTTAGGCCCAAAATTTATTGTGCCAAAGGAAAAGGACTCAAAAATTGAAGAGTTAATTTCAACTTAAGGTCTTCCTAGGACTTTTCATAAATGAGCCCCCACGCACATCTGAAGGCAACCCCAGACAGGTAAAAAGACAGCAACATACTAAGACATTCAGAAATATAATCCACTTTATGAAAGCCCAGACAAAAATTTAAGGGTGCAAGAAAGCAGAATACTCTCTACAATAAAATGAAGCTTCAAAGAACATTTATTAAGTTAACTAAAGGAGGGTTATCAAAATCCATACTAATAGTCAAATCCTGTTACAACTTAAAAGGGACTTTCCAAAGTCTTTAGTGGCAGTGGAATTTTGTACTGAACATCATTGAAGTAAATGGTCCACTGGGCTGGGCCTTTGGACTTTTTGGTTATATGGTCTCTGCTGTAAAGGTGTTTTGCTATAACTGGATTTGACCTCTTCCATGTAAGAAGATCTAAATATTAAATGCAAAGTACTCTGGAAAATAAGAAAAAAAATAGAAAAGTCATTTATTCCAAAATTTATAGATAATCCACACCACAGTAGCCAATATATTTCAACTGTGTCATTTTTCTTTTTAATCCTTTTTGAGTAATTCCAGAAGAGCTGAATGGATGTTGGTTGAGACTTTGCAAAACTGGTTATACTAATAATACTCCAACGAAGGCAAGCTCAGGTACTTAAAAAGGCATACTTTGAGGTCTTGCCAAGTTCAGGGATATAGCTTTTCAGAAAGGCTAATAGATAAACAATTTGTGTTAAGCTTATTACCTGAAATCAATTGAGTGTATGTACTGAGAATTATACTGTTTTTTAAAAGAAAACATATACTAGTCAGTCAACTCTCAATTTCTCAGAATGTGCATTTTCTTACTATCTTAAAACTACATCCCAATACCCAATGGCTTTTAAAGAACAATGAAGTTTCAGAATGAAAAATTTGGCAACGTGGCACCTTCCTTTGATTAAGAGACTTAATTCATCCACACTAAAGACTAATGCACAGGACATTCTGTTTTATAATTTATAAAAAAAATTTTCTTCTAGATAACTTTCAAATTAATTTGAAAGATTAATTCCCTTCAGGCAAAACAAGGGAGTCAGCTTCAACTGAGGATGAGAAGTCTGACAGAAATAATTTGTACATTTAAAAAGAAACCAGATGACAGGTGAAGTTTTGTGAATATTCTTCCCTTAAACAAAGACTCCTATGGCCAATTAAAGAAATTGTCCATTCTTCTGTTTAGCCTTTTAAGACTTCACACTTTATATAAAAGCCACCAAGCACCAGTCATTGAGAGCTTGATGCTCAATTGCCTTGTAAAAGTTTGGTAGTCTTTAGTTGCAGGAAGGTAACAAGTAAAGATGGTATTAGTAGCAAGACATCTAAAGAATGGTACAACAAAGAAAGCATGTGCACTACCAATGTCTTCATTACAGATGAGATCTTTATTGGTCCACTAGGCATGTTATCTAGAGACTGGATAATTTCAATTTATATGGATACCCCTTCCTACCTTTTAATTGTAAAATTGCAAATCAGACATGTTAATTAGGAAACATACTTTGGTAAAAGGTATAAAATCAAAGGACACTAAACCATGCAATGATTGGTTGGCTGACTGCCTCAAACTGTAACAATTCAAGACTAAACCCAACTCAATACCCATTAAAGTGATTAGTGAAGAGCGATAACAGACTCCCACCCATGCAGAAAAAATATAGGAAATATCCTACAAATTTTACCATTTTGATCAATTCCTACAATACTCTAGGGGGTAAGAATACTGGTGCAGCAAAGCCTGAACAATCCAGTCTAGACAATCTCAACTATTTTATGAAATTTTATTAACCTACCTTACAAACTTCTTGTGAGATATTGAGGTAGTATATTATGAAACACTTTGAGCTCTTGGAAGAGCCAGAAAGAATCAAGTGACTGACTCTCATTACCATCATTTTTTGTAATGTATTATGAGGTCATGAATATAACATTTGAATATGACATCACAAAAGCTAATAAAACATCTTAATGCTTATGATATAGAACATGTGATGCTATCATTTAGAGCTAAAGAAAACTCAACAGGATCAAATCTTATAAAGTGCATTTGGTTTATACTATTATTTAGACTTCTTTCACACTGTATTCTGTACTCATCTGTCACTGAGTTCCTATTAACGGTTAGTTATTTGCACAAGTAACATGCATAATTTTCTGGAATTCCATTCTATTAACTCTATCAGAGTTTAAAAAGCTTAAGACAATGAAAGCCATGTTAAGAACATTAAGAAATACTGAAGTATGCTGTAACATTATTACAAAAAGAATCTTAAAGCATCAAGGAGCATGAATAATTCACAGCTCTGACTTCTTCAGTAATTTAGGGCAAAACACATTTCCCACAGTTATCACCTTCTTTCTAACCCATCTTCAGTGGATATAACAGCTTTATTGATGACATTAAGTAATAAATATTAAGCCAAAGTTAACAAATTTTAGACAAGCTTGAATATAAGAACTCATCCAGATTGTCATGGATGGACTTGGAGGGGAAGGTGTCCAATGACACCCATTCCTGAAATCTAAGGAGAGTCCATAGTTTTATATCCTCAAATAGTGTCTCTTCCCAAAAGAACCCAGTTTTCTAAAACAGGCAAAGAAAAGCTTCAGGAGAGTACCTAGGTGTGATGCTTTAACCACAGGGGTACAACTTTAAAAGTCTCAATCATGTACAGCACGTCCTCCCAACCCAGGTCCCTTCTTGAAACTTACTTTTTGCTACGTTCTTCATGGCCGTTAGCACTGCTCAACTTGTTCTCATCCTAAGCAGGGTTGATAGAAGAACATCATGAGGACGAAGTGGTAACATTTCAAGTTGTCAAAGGGTAAAGGGAATAGGAATAAGAAAATACAAAACAATTTTAAAACTAATTACTTATTTATAGTTTAACATGGAAGGCTATAAAAAAATTTAGATGGATGTATGTTTAACCACTTTGTTGCTTACAAATTAAGTCATCAAGATACAAAAGTAAAAATGCGTATTAACATGTTAAATTTTCTTATATAGTTAGATATTAAGTTATCCAGATTTACAGTGTTGAAGTGGTTAAATAGAATTTCTATAAAACATGAATGAAGTCCTGTTTTCAGTTTTATTCCATGTGCTATGGCCCCTTTAATCAGTACCATGGCTCTATTTCTGCCTAAGCCCCAAGTGGCCATGCTAGCAGCCAGCCACTATCGATTTCCTGTGACCGATGCCATTCCTGAGATCTTCGCCCATTTCCGTTGGAGGGTTGGGACTGTAAGAGCTTGATGCCACCTCTGTCACACATCTCGCCCTGAAGCAAACAGGGATTCACACTGCTTTAGTAATGTTGACTCCCAAGAACCCAAGAAAGTCAATTAATAATCCACCAGTCCTACTTCCATACCTGTTTACATGGAATTACATCCATGTTAAACTAAGAATCTTAACATTAAAATAGAAAGTAGAGCTTCAAGAGTCTAAGTATTACAAACTAAGTACACTATTCAAAGCTTTAAAGAATTCATCCAAATTGGTACCACATGGTCGAGCTATACACTCCAAAACAAATGTATTATTTTTAAAAGGTTTAGCGAAATGTTTATTTTCAAGTTTGATCACATCAGCTATAGGAGTATAAGTGCTAACTTACAAAGCTTACAGTTTGTGACATCAGTGATAACGCATGCATACTGTTATTTTCACCATCAACTGGTGGTGAAAGAATGAAAAGACACTTTACTTTTACTGTGATACTGAAATGGATCTACGTTATTAGCCAAAATAACTCCTTTGTAGTTTTTAGTGTGAAATATTATGGCAGGGACGAATTAAAAATAAAACAATATGGAGAACAGCTAAACAGTCATCAAGTGACTCTAAGTTGTGATATTGCCTCTTTTGCTTTAAGAAATTTTTTCTGTTCAGGGATCCAAGAATTTTAGTAATTTTTAACTGAGCAGCAGATCATCACCTGCCTGTTTTAATATTTACTATCACCAGTCTTATGTATAGGATAAATTTTAAATCTCACCCATTTCTTCTTGTAAGACTTGTCTTATTTAAAGATTTGCTTGCCACAGACTGGTTATGCTTTGTTATTCTTGGACCCCTGCTGTTTTCCCAAACCACTACATTCACCTTTTTGCTATACCAAACTGGAGCTGGTAATTCTTAGTTGAGTCATTTTACCTAGGGGACCACGGTACAGCGATAAGTCACTCAATTACTACCTTATGATTGACAGTTCACACTGGAATCAAAGGTGAATTCATGGGAGTAGAGGTGAGATATCGTTAGGCAAGTCTACAAAGAGAGATAGATGGGCATTTATTCATCACGCTGAAGTGAAACTACTGCACAATATTATTACATCAATAGCATATATTTACTTTTGTAAGTTACACGTAATGCATCTCTGATAAGGTAAATCAAGAGGGCTCCGGGGAGGTTAGTTTACATTTCAGCAGTAGTTTCGTGAATAATGCTAAATTAAGAAATAGATAAACCTCACCGACTTGTTTTTTCTCACCTTCTTGTAAGGAGCCTCAAGCATTGCTTCAATATCAATATCGTCTGCCATTTTCTCTAAACGACTAGGTAAAAAGCGAGAATGAAAATTTGGTGAGTAAACAATTTTAAATTGTACTAAATTTCCTTTTTACCGGACATATTAAAAAACTTGAGGTCCCACAGAATGACTAAAGCGGAACCACTTTAGTAGGCTTGAATTAAGTCTAAAATGTCCCCAACGCTAGACAGATTAAGTTCCTCTCTTTTTAAAAAGCTTACAGCGCCTCAAAAAACAGAACCCGAGAATCTCGAGCCAAGGCGCCGTTTTCGCGCAAAAACCCGCGCTGCCATTTTAGGGGCAAAGGGAAACTCCCTCGGCTGGGAGGGGTTGTGTGCCAAGGCAGCGTTCGGCTGGCGCCATGTTGGGAGGTCGCGGTCGGCCCGGGCCTCGAAGGGACAGGTCGCCATCTGCCCGAAACCTCTCTAGAGCCCACGCCACCCGAAAACCCTGAAAAATATTCGACCGGAAAAGGGTGGGGTCGTCGAAAAGACAACGATTTCTAGAAAACCCCCCCCCCAACCCGGTCGCTTAAAATCGCCTAAGGAGTGACTCCTCAACATAGAAAAGAACCAAACCTCAAAAAAGCCCTGAAAATACGCGGGTCCGCGATGCCTCCTCACCTGTGCGGGCTTTCCGGGTCCCTGCGGTGCTCGTATTCGGAAAGAGGGGTGCTGTGGCTGCCGCCGCTGTTGCTACTGTTAAGCCGCTAGGCCCAGGCCGCAGTACCACCCAGCCCGAATTTCAGGCTCAGAGGGCGGACAGGCCCAAGCGAATCTAAAAGAGACAATGAGATTAGAGGAGCCCGCGCGGGAGTTCAGGACGGCGGCTTCGGCAGCTCAGGATCCACCCCTGCGACAGTGTCGGCAAGCTCTCTGAAATGGCGGCCGCAGCTTCCCCGTACTCACATTCACCAACACACATACACACACACAAACACACGGGGCCTCACAGAGCCCTCAGCACGGGCTCTCGCGAGAAGCAGCTCTTAATTCCAGTCCAGAGCAACGGAAATATCGCGAGATTTAAGCATCGGCCCCCAGCGACCATGGCCCAATCTCGCGCAAGGATTGCGCCACAGATATTCCCATCCCCCACTCAGAAAGGCGCCTTTGAGTCCCTTCTCCCGATCGGCGTTCACATCTCGCGAGATCGCGCCAGCTGCTAGCGCAAAGACAGTTGGTACCCGTACCGTCAATCTTTCAGAAAACTCATCACTGAGTGGAGTTCAGTGGTCGCCGCCTCCTCGTGGCACCGCCCTAGAGCTCTCAGAAGGTTTCTGAGTTGACGGTTGCCCCCTCCCCCGGGCCTCCCACCCAGGTGTCTGTCAAGGTCGCTGTAAACCCATCTCGTCCATATGGCTCTAGAATAAAACGAAACGCTGTTATACAGATTATCTGCGAAGGGTGAAGACGGAGTGAAAAGCAAGTAAGAGAGAAGATGAAAAGAGACGTTTAGGGGTAGGGGGCTAAGAGTGTGAAACAAAAAGATTTCTCGGCCTGTGGAGCCAGTGGACCAGGCACTGCGTTGACTGCCTAGCTTCAAAATACCTTTGGAAGTAGTGGGCAAAGGCAAAGAGAAGGTGAAAAAACACTGCATCCCTTGGCAGTGGTCCAGCTCTGTGCCCCTCGAATTTATAATCTGACCTTGTGTGGGGGTTGCTATTGTTTCTTCAGAAATGTACCCCATTCCCCTTGGTATGTACTCAATGGACATGAAACTGAGCAAAGTGAAGAACAAGGAAACCTGCATTCTATGGGCTCGCAAAAAGTTGGACATGACTTAGCGAGTGAATAATAATCCCCCCCGGGATTTGGCTCCTTGTTCCTGAAGTCTCCCAGATGCGTGGCATTTAGAATGTACAGTCACCACTTGTTCTTTGGTCTACGCGGTGAAAAAGCGGAGAGCAGACAGGTCATTGTCTACAAGACTTCAAGATAAAAATGGTTGAAAAAATTTAGGAAAAAATTTAGAAAAAAATTCAAAGCAAAAAAATCTTGAAGAGAAAATCTAGAAGTCTGTTGACAGCTTAATGACTGACTGCAAAGATTTGAGATGAGTTTGTGTAGCTGCTCCAATACTGTGACCTTGGACAAGTAAATGAACCTACTCTCCATTTCTTCTGTGAAGAAGAGTGTAATTACTAAACTTCTTATTAGTGGGGAAGACCAGTAATGCTCGCTAGTGAATTCTCAGCACTTAGCCAGATGCGCAGGTATAAACTCATTAAATCAATGACTGGATGAATGAAGGCCTAGTAGGAGTATAGAAAGGATTGAATGAGGTAATAGCCTCTTTTGCCATGTAAAATGCCTGGCAAATATTTAATCCTCAAAAAAGTTAACTTCTGTTATCTCTAAATAAAATATTTAGAGGAAATCTTGGTATAAAGATGCTTTGCATTTCAGATTAACTTTGCACTTAGGTGTTTCTTTTAGAGAATGAATAGATTTTGTATAATTAGTAATACTCCCTTAACTTCTTTTCCTGAAAACTCACTCTTCATTTTTTGAATGTTGAAAATCATCACATTATATTGAAACACAATTATTTTAGAAAAGACAAGCTAACCTTTGCCTTTGTTTTTCCTTTTTAATTCTAGTGTGAATTGTGAAAATATTAAAACATAGATGGTGGCCCCTACTTAATTTTGTTAGGGAATATGACGGCACAGAATCTGACTTTAACCTCTAGACTTCTTATTCGAGAAGAGAAATATTTTAAACTCTTAAGTTACTTGAGTATTCAATATCTCTTAAATTGTTTTCTGTTCCAGAATGATCAGAGTGAACCTGGCAATTTAGCACACAAACAAGAAACTCCAACTGGAAAACTCAGTCTCTAAAATGAAAGTATTTTTATGTATTTAAAAGGAAATATTAAAAATATGATATGCTTTTTATTCACCATGCAAAACCTCTGTCTGGCTCATGTACTCCTTCCCTTTTCATCGTTATGTTCTCAATTCTTTTGCCTTGAAGGTAATTGGGTTAAATCATCGCAACCAAGAATATTCTATCTTAAAACTTGTGAAGTGGAGACCACAGGCTAACTAAGGGCCTGGGATAAAGAAGGTAACAGATATTATGCTTAGAGAATTTGGCTGATAATTAAATATATTTTACCAATGTGAGTTTTTTAACGTTCATGTGTGACTTTTCTGGACAGAAGATTCTATTTTTCATACTTGCATTTTAAAAGTTAACATTCAACATATAGAATAAGTGCTTTTTAATCTAGTTTCCTTGAGACCTTAAGACTGACTTAGAAATTTTGTTTTATTTATAAATCTAACTAGAATATTAGAATGACCTTCACTTTTTCTATTGAGTTGAATTCAAATTGAATGGACTAAACTCCCTTCAAAAAGTCAGTCCAATTTATGTTAGATAAATGTCCTCAAATTTAGTAGGCTTTTGTCAGTTTAACATGGTGTGGTTTTTTTTTTTTGAGTACTTTAAAACTTTTACAAGTATATAAACTCTTCTAAACTTAAAAAATTAAAATCACAAATATAGTGTTTTAAACGTTCTTAAAATATTCTAATGTAGTCTCATACATTTCCAATTAAAATGACAAATCTCGTTAGTTACTTAATCACATTTTTTACCTGAATTTCTAGTACCCCAAGTTCCTTTAAACATTACAATTTAAATACAGAAATGTATAAAGTGGGTTTCACTGGTGGCTCAGATACTAAAGAATCCACCTGCAATGCAGGAGACCCTGGCTAGATCTCTGGGTCAGGAAGGTCCCCTGGAGAAGGGACTGGCTACCAACTCCAATATTCTTGCCTGGAGAATTCCCAGGACAGAAGAACCTTGCAGGCTATAGCAGCCTTGCAGGCTACAGTCCTTGGGGTCACAAAGAGTCAGACACAACTGAGTGACTAACATATAACATACATATGTACAAAGTATTCTTAATCTTAATATAAAAGATTTAAGTTTTTAAATTGAAATTTCTCTGAGTAAAAAGATGCTTATAACAGAAAGGTTTTATTATCTCAAAAAATTTTGATATTAACATTCCAAGAGAATTCAGATATTATCTCAGAGGACTAAGGTTTCTGATTGGCCAGAGTTTCTGACCTGAACCAACAACTGTTTGCATACTTTACCTGACAGATTCCAGCAGTTCTTGAGCCACTGGGAACACTATGAACTTTCTTTTTTCCCTCTAAGTCTCTGTAACAATGAGAAACTTAATCCCATTTCATACTAGTGGAGGTAATTTTGCCAGCCTTAGGACTTTGCCTGATTTGGGAGGATCAAATCATCCCCCTCCACCCTCATTTGGACTTGATTGTATAATCTAATCTACTTAAAGATTGAATTTGACATTCATTTCAAATACTTGCCTGTCTACTGGCCATAATGTCAGGAGCATTGTAGTGACATATCCAAAAGGAATTTGCATAAATTCGTCCTTAAGAGCTGTTTCATGGGTATATCACCAGCCACTTATTTGTCCATCTGTCTATCCCATGATGATAAAGATTATGCAAGACACTATTTCTTGGCCACACCACCCGGCTTGTGGGATCTCAGTTCCCTGACCAGAGATTGAACCTGGAATTCTAACTACTAGGCCATGAGGGGACTCCCTCAAAAAATTATTTAAAAAACAAACATTATTTTAGATTAAACATAAAAATGGCAAAAATTTAAGAAGCTATAACAAATTTAGAACATTCCTTTAGAGGTCTGTCTGATTGAAGTATGTTGTTATAGGTTCACTATATATTGATTCAAAACTTTTATAGGTTATACTACATTTATAGTTACTATAAAATAACTATATGCCCTGTGCTGTACAATATATCTTGATAGCTTATTTATTTTATAGAGAACAGTTAGTACCTCTTAATAGCCCTGTTTTGCCCCTCCCCTTTTGTTTTTGGCTGCCCTGAGTCTTCCTTGAGCTGCATGAGCTTCTCCTGATGTGGTGCATGGGTTCTGGTGCGAGAACTTAGTTGCCCCCTCACATGTGGCATCTTAGCTCCCCAACCA